CATGTTGAGCAATGGCTTCCTATGAGATTTTCAAGAATAGCATTGACTATCGCAGATTTTTGCCTCCTATGTTATATTTAGAATTTACCCCCACATAATTTGTGATTACACTGAAGTAAAGGTACAAGTGAGATACATTCTGTGTTCCTACAGAGAAGGAAGCTTTAAACTAACTTCTGTGCTTGGGGAAAGTGTCAGGGAGGATGTGGCATTTGCACAGAGTTTGGGGAAAGAGTCTGATTTTAATAGCTGGAAAGGGGGAGCAGAAAGGATATGTATCCCATTGAGCAAACCACATGAACTATTGTGTTGAGAGAATAGTGAGTAGTCTAATAAGTCTAGAATTGTATGGACTTTAGTATAGTAGGAGGAATGTATCAAAACACAGGTTTGAATTAGGTCATGAGAGATCCTCGAAAGTCTCGACATGAGTGTGGATTTTATTCTGTATGTTGTGGGAAGCATTACAAATTTTTGCCAGACATGTACCATGACTAGATGGTACAGGTCTGGATGGAATCCCTGTTATTCTCCAAACCTCTTTCACCTTGATCGCCACCCAGGAACAACCTGAGAAGAGGTGATCTCTTTCTGGGCATAGCTTCATGTAACCATCAGACTGCTTTGCTTTACTAAGGTGTGTGAACTAGAAGGAATTGAGGGAGGTAGAGTTAGGCTGTCATCCCACTGTGCTGTTACTAACATATGTATTATATATGTTATACACCCAACAGTTTAGTGTTATAATTATTGCTTTATGCAGTCTTGTCTTACAGTTACAAGAAAAGGTATGTGTTTATATAGTCTTATGTTTACTCAAATATTTACCTTTTCCTGTGCTCTTCATTTCTTTCTGCCAGATTGAGTTAGCATCTCGTGGCATTTCCTGTTAGCCTGAAGAATTTCCTTTAGTATTGCTTATAGGGCACACATCTGCTTGCAACAAATTCTCTCAGTCTTTGTTTATCTGAAGATAAACTCATTTCACTTTCATTTTCTAAGGGTCGTTTTTGTTGGATGTAGAATTCTTAGGAAACGTTTTTCTTTTTCTTTCAGGAATTTGAATATGCCATTACTGATCTCTGTGTTTCTTTTTCTGTTTTAATCTTCACCTAAGGATATTTTTCCATTGATTTTTAGAGAGAGCAGAAGAGAGAGGGAAAGACAGAGAGAAATATCCATGTGAGAGAAACACATCTATTGGTTGCCTCCTGCTTGCGCCCTGACCAGGATGCAGGTGGGAGAGGAGCCTACAACCATGGTGTCCTTGATGGAATAGATCCTGGGACCCTTTGTTCTGCAGGCCTATGCCTAATGCACTGAGCCAAGCCAGCTAGGGCAATTATTGTTTCTGACGAATTGTTTTTTTGTTCCCTTGTAGAATCTTTTTCTTTTTGTTTTGGTGATTTTCTTTCTTTTTGTTTAATGATTTTTTTTTTTATAGTTTGACTAAAATGTACCTAAGAATTTCTTTGTGTTTATTCTAGGCTAAGCTTCATTGAGCTTCTTGGATCTGTAAATTGATGTTTTTCATAAAAATTTGTAGTATTTTAACCATTATTTCTTCCCATTTCCCCAATTCTTGGTACAGAGCTCCTAAAACCTTATAACTTTCTAAGTGAAAAGAGTACTAGTGTTATCAGCATAATTAGCTGGTTAATATTAATAAAGAAGCGAAGGGAGGCCAGACATCGTAAGTGTGGTCATCTGGGCAGCTGTTAGTTTTTTTAATCAGAATTCCTTTTTTTATTTCTTTTTGCTATTATTAATTTCTAGAAACCCATAACCATCAAATATAATGCTCAAAAATCTTTATTAGGCCCTTTTCCACAAAGCACAATATAATTTCTATTACATGTCTTCTAGTACAGGCAATCCACTTCCTGGCTGCTCCTTAATAGTTCTAGCGACTATCATTGAGGAATTGTAGTGATTAGTAGCAAACATACTTAGTGTTTAAAATATTAATGGTCATTCAAATATATCCTCAGAATTATTCTTCAGGCTCTTCCAATTGTACCTACTTATCTTACTCTGGGTCATTTGTAAATTTTTATACTTTTTCTTTAAAAATTTTACTTGAAATAGTTTATTTGAAAAAATATCCTACATGCCCTTGCCCTGTCTTGGATCTGGCACATGGTTAATTTTCTTATATCCTTACTGATGAAAGGAACATGAGTAGTTATGGGAACCACTGTTCCATGTGAGAGGGCGTGAGGGTTCATGGTGCTTCTTCCGGTCTCTGAACCCCACAGGCTACACATAGTGTATGAATATAGAAAGTGTGTGAGCCTATCAAGTTCTGGGTTCATCCTCACCGGTACATTCTGTATTGACATGATTCTTTTTTATTTTTTTTTAATTTTAATTATGCGGGCATCCTGGTATAGTTAACAGCAGAGTTGGTAGGAACCAGGCCCAGGATGCCAGCCAGCTTCCGGCTGCTGTTCTCCCAGCAGTGTAACGCTTCCCTAGGTACAAAATAGCCTAGGCAGCTGCCTATGGCTTGATTCTTTTTATAAATCTGTTGAATGGTTTGTTCTCCAAATTGCGCCATACTTCTTATAAATGAATGGATTATTGAAAGAGGTGGTGGATTCACTTTCTTTCCACTTAAAGACTAAATGCATATGTGGTCATGTAGTGGAAAGAAAGTGAATTGGGGCTAGATGCAATGATTGAGTCCACATGCTTCATAGCTAAAGTTTTTAAATACTTTGGATTCCAAGTACAGAAAGCTAACATAGTTAAAGCTTCTCTCACCCTCCCCCCTTTGGAGGAGGTTTTGAAGAAAAATTCACACATTTTTGGAAACAGATTAAATTGTTTTATTTTCTGTAGCTTTAATATTAGGAGAATAACAAATGAAGAAATTCTCATTTGTCTGAAGCCCTCTGTTGCTGCTTGTTTATGTATCTTGGGGACACTGATCCAATGGTATCTTGAGCATGATGGTTTATTTGTGAGGTATGAATGTTTCTTGATTATGCAGTCACTTAACGAGGAGTGGTAGACAGGTGGGAGAAACTTGTTTTTAGGAATATAAAGACACAGAAAGGAATCGGCAAATTATGCAGTCTTATTGAAAATACCTCTTTTGTTAAAGTACAACAAGAATAATGGTTTTGTAATGAATCAGGGCAGTTTAGTGAACTGTTTAATATAGTACATGAAATACTTATGAGACAATAGAATGTTTTATAAGGAAAGCAGCAGGGAAAAAATTTATAGGTATTTTTTAGGATTGGTAATTATATGTCTGGAATGATTTAGGAACCTACTTGAATGAAGTTTAAAACATAATTTTATAGAACCAGAGGTGGTTTATAAAGAGCTGATTCTTTTTCTTTTTTTTTTTTTTAGTATATCTTATTGATTTTTAACAGAGAGAAAGGGAGAGAGATAGAGAGCTAGAAACGTCGATGAGAGAGAAACATCGATCAGCTGCTTCTTGCACACCCCCTACCGGGGATGTGCCCGCCACCAAGGTACATGCCCTTGACCGGAATCGAACCTGGGACCTTTCAGTCCGCAGACCGACGCTCTACCACTGAGCCAAACCGGCTTCGGCGAAGAGCTGATTCTTAAAGCCCCATTGATAACCCTGGGGAGCGGTAGAACAAACTAGATTAAGTGGAAAAGGTGTTCTATCATTTTACCAAGATAGGGTTATGCAGTCTTAACTAAAATCCTTTTAATACAATTCTGCTGCCATGAACATACTGATCTGTCATTAAATATTCACTTAAGTACTGTTTAATGAAGCCTGCCAACATTCTGCAAAATAAGTACAGGGTGTGTGGGGGTGGGGGGAGGCCGTCAGACATCCCTCGAGGGGTCCCAGATTGGAGAGGGTGCAGGCTGGGCTGAGGGACACATACCCCCATGCACAAATTTTGTGACCGGGCCTCTAGTGTGTGTGTGTGTGTGTGTGTGTGTGTGTGTGTGTGTGTAGCTATAGCTAATTAATTTTCTTTCAATGTGCATGAATCCATGCACCGGGTCACTTGTGTGATATATATTCCTTAGCAGAAGTGATATATATCACTTCTAGGCAAAAGCTTTAGGAATGTAGGGGAGGAAAAATTCACCTGTACCTTCTTTGGGTCTCTAGCTGGGCCTAAGTTTTAAAGTGACATAAGATTAACAGGAGAAAAGCATACAGATTTTGTTGATTTTTTTTTTTTTTACATTTATATGGGAGCCTTCACAAGAAACAATATTTACAAACTGTATGTAATGGCATGTAAAATTATTAAAGAAGGTTTAAAATTGCATATGCAGCATGAACTCAATCCAAAATAGGAATAGAATATGCAAAATGTTATAGTATTTGCTCCTGGAAAATTGGGCTATGGGTAATTTGTAAAATTTACTCCTAACTAATATATAATTAAATTGATCATTTCATAGCAGACTTAGACTTGTTTTGCTGTTTAGGTAATTTTTAAATTTTATGCATTCCTATAGCTTAGGAATGAAGGTGAAAGAGGATAAGCTATGTTTCTCTGAAAAAGAGAAAATAAAAAGCAATGGTCAGGTTCTGGCCAGTCTGGCTATGTGATTAGAGCATCAGCCCATGCACCAAAGGCTCCTGGCTTCAATTTCCATCAAGGGCCAATACCTGGGTTACAGTTTCCATCCCACATGTGGGAAGCAATCAATCAATGTGTTTCTCTCACCTCCCTTCCTCCATCCTTCCCTTCCTCCTTCCCTCATTCCCTCCCTCCCTTTCACTCTCAAAAAAATCAATAGAAAAAATATCCTCAACAACAACAAAGCAGTTGCCAGTGTCTTAGTAGTTCTGGTATTATATACATTCATATATATTACAAGAGGAGACTGGTTTGGCATATACTGCTTGCCCTGGATGAGGTGAATGAATGGTTTTTAGACCATCATGGTACTCTTCCTGTTTATTAATTTTTAAGAGGTATTTATTCTAGTATGTTTCTTGATAAAGGAATCTTTAAAATGTCCATTTTTATTTGTTATAGTATGTGCAGAAGCTTATAATCCTGATGAAGAAGATGATGATACAGAGTCCAGGGTATGTAATTTACTGAATAAATTAATTTTAAATTATTCCTATATTTGGGTAAGAAAAATAATAACAATAGCAAAGATGTTAACAAACATAATGGTATTATTTTGACTGTTTCTTTTCCTTCTCTATAGCTTACTTCTCATTCAACTTCTATAGAATTACTTTAACCTAGAGACTCTCTTTGGCTAAAGGAAAAGTGAATATAAAAAAATCACTGCAGTTGTGGTTTTATTTCTTTTGTAAAAATACAACTTCTCAGTGATTCCTCCAACTTTGTTCTTCTTTCTCAAGAATGCTATGGCTATTTGGGGTCTCCTGTGTTTTATATAATTTTTTTGAATTTTTGTTCTTCTTCTGTGAAATACTCCATTTGTATCTTGATGGGAATTACGTTGAATCTATATACTGCTTTGGGTTTACTTGTGGGTTTTTTTTTATTTCAGAGTAAGCGTCTGTTATTATAAATTAGCAGGAATAGAAGTCTCATCCCAGTATTTTTCTAAACTAGAAATACTAAGAAAAAAATTTTTTATCACTTCGGAAGGAGTCTTGACTTGGAATGGTGAACACACAGTACAGTGTGCAGATGATAAATGTCTTGTCGAATTGTGCACCTGAAACCTGTATAATTTTTTTAACCAGCATTACCCCCATAAAATTCAACAAGAAGGAAATACAGGAAAATAATACAGTAATTACTAAATAATAATACAAGATAAAAAAAATCAGACTACAGTAACACCTGACCTGTCAGTATAGCAGTTGTTATTCTTTTTAAGTCTATGAGTCTTTATAGTTTGCTCAGAAACTGCTTTTTTTGGAGGTCCTAATGTTTTTGCAAAAATTGGTTCATTTTTATTTGAAGCAAATTTTTAAGCTGTGTTCTTTAGCTTTGTTTTTTAATTATTTATTTAATAAAAAATAAGCTAAATTAGAGATTACACTGCCTGGAAAATGGAAGTAATAATTTACCTTTCTTTTTTTTTTTTTTTTTTTTTCTCTTTACATGCTTTACAAAAGCCCTCCTTTTTAATTTGGCCTTTAAAAATATAAATAAAAAATATATTTCTGTAGCTTTCAAAAATACTTCAGTAAGATTGAGTTTTAATATAAAAAAGCAGATACTGCATCCCTATGTCATAGCATCAGTAAGCTTCCTGAAATATACATAAAATCTAGTGGTACCGTGTTTCCCCGAAAATAAGACATCTTCCGAAAATAAGACCTAGCGCATGGAAAGATAAGACATCCCCTGAAAATAAGACCTAGCGCAACTTTGAGAGAAAAAATTACTGTCTTATTTTCGGGGAAACAGGGTAGCAAGATAAGGAGACTTAAGTGACTAGCAGATCTTCAAGGAACTCCCATTTCACTCCTTAATGTGGCTATTCCAGCACCAGGAGGGTTGGGGGGAAAGATAGAGAATGAATAAGGAACAAGGACGTTGATGAGAGACCAGAGCTGGCCAGAGCTGATGTTCATTAATGTTTAGCTATCTGAGATGGGCTTGAAGTTCTGGTTTTCATTTTCCATTTTAAGTTCTAATATGTCCATGGGCATAAAACACACCACTGCCAGAGTCTGAACTTGCTAACCTGGGGGACCACTCCTTTGAAAAACATTCAAGTGCTATCCAAAACACTAAATAGAAAAGATACAGGCACCGCTGTATCTATTATGTTCATTCTTTACTATAGCTAGGGCAGGGGTCTGCAACCTTTAAGACATAAAGAGCCACTTGGACCCGTTTCCGAATGAAAAAAAAAACCTGGGAGCCGCAAAACCATTGCGACATTTAAAACAAATATAATACTGCATATATTGTTTCTTACCTTAATGCTATACACCGGATCATGCAATTAGCTGTCAATCTGAAGAAAAAAAAGGACTTTTTCACTTAACAATGTAAAATATATTTTTGCAAATTAATAGCTAATTAAAATATTTAATTTATCTGGTTAATGGGATTTTTGCTCCTGAACCTCAGTGCACAGTGTCAGCACATCAGGGCTGTAAGATGTTACCTTCATTTTCACACAGGCTTGCAAGTTGTCGGAGCCGCGGTAAAGCTTCAAAAGAGCCGCATGCAGCTCTGGAGCCGCAGGTTGCCGACACCTGAGCTAGTGTATGGAAGCAACCTAAGTGCCGGTCAATAGATGATTGGATAAAGATGACGTGGAACATGCAGGGTGGGGCAAAAGTAGGTTATCATTTGTGAGTGTGGGAAACAGTTTATTCCTGTTTTATGATTTATTGTATTATTTTTCCATGTGAACAACTATTAACCTACTTTTGCCCCACCTTGTATATACAATAGAATATTACTCGGCCATAAAAAGCATGAACTCTCACCACTTGTGATAACATGGTTGAATCTAGAGGATATTGCACTAAACGAAAGAAGTCATAGAAAGACAAATCCCACTTGCTATTACTTACATGTGGACTCTAAAGAAGAAAGTAAATTAACAAAACAAGAAAAGACTCAGATACAGAAAACAAACTGGTGGTTGCCAGATGGGAGAGGAGCTGGTGGACTTGGTGACAAAGTGGAGGGATTAGGAAGTACAGAGTAGGTTCAGAATAGTCATGGAGATGTACAGTACAGCCTAGAGAATATGGTCAACGATATTGTGATAACCATGTATGGTGTCAGATGGGTAGTAGACTTAGAGGGGGGATCACTTCATAAATTATATAAATGTCTAACTACTGTATTGTACACCTGAAGCTAATACAATATTGAATGTCAGGTAGTTGAAAAGTTAAAAAAAGAAAAACATTCAAGTGTAGTAATCAATGTGCAACCCCTCCCTGAGACAAACTGTATTATTTTCCCCTGCTTAGTGGGCTGATAGGTGTCTAGTCACCGAAGTAAATCTCAGCACTCACAAATCTTCCTTCTACCATCCTACTAGGAAATTTTGTTCCTCACAGGTAAGAAGAGGAGACTAATGGTTTATTTAATTTTTTTTTTTTTTTTTTTTAGATTATATATCCAAAAACTGATGATCAAAGAAATAGATTGCAAGAGGCTTGTAAAGACATCCTGCTATTTAAGAACCTGGATCCGGTAAGATAAATCTCAGTAATAGAAACGGTTTTTTTCTCAGCATCTGTGTGAAGAACTGTGCAGGGTCTCTCGGCCCCACCCGAGGATTTAGGAGCTGAAGGAGAAAATGAGTTGAAGACAAGTTCAGAGTGTTAGCACCAGAGCCCAAGCGGAAGGCATCGAGAGGTGGGAGCTCAGACGTGTGTTCCGTGTCCATTCCTGAATGCCTCGCTGTAACAGGGGACACGTAATGGATGCTGTGGGCAGGAACAACCACATTTTAAGCAGAGAATGTGACAGTCAGATGTGTCTAAGGTCATGGCTGGTGGCAGCGGAGAGGGTTGAGTTCAAGACAGGAGAGTGACAGGGCAAGGACACAGGAATGGAGCTCGGTGGGGAAACAGTGCCATGATCCAGGGAAAAGAAATGGGCCCGAGGGAAGGGGGAAGGGGTGGTTTCATGGAATACTCAGAATTAGCAGGAGCTGGGACTTGCTGGTGGAGTAAATTGGGACCTGGCTGGAAGAGTCTGGGATGACGCCCAGTGTCCAGCTGGAATGATGTGAAGAAAACTCCACGGAGGGGCAGGCAGCAGTCATCACTGACTAGCGAGAACAGCAATCTTGGCTTCATGTCTGCTATCTCATTTGAGTTTCCTGAAGTCATTGTTTATCCTGGAAATTTTGCACCTCCTAGGCCTCAGAACATTCTTCCTTGGAGTGCTTTATATTCATACGCTAAGCACAGCATTTATAATTATTAGTCTCTTTGAAGATATTCTTTTCATGAATATTTTAATGCTCAACCCAGTAGGCCATTTTTCTTCTGAAATATTTCTAATATGAGGCAAACCGAAATAATTTTCCTAAGCTATAGGATACTCTCATTAATGGAGAGTAAATTGTTATTTTTTAAAAATATATTTTTATTAATATCAGAGAGGAAGGAGAGGAAAAGAGAGAGAGATACACATCAATGTTGACAGAGAACCATTGATCGGCTGCCTACTGCATGCCACACACGGGGGATGGAGCCCACAACCCAGGCATGTGCCGTGACTTCCTGGTTCATAGGTTGATGCTCAACCACTGAGCCATGCCTGCTGTGCTAAATTGTTATTTTTAAGTGAGTCAGAGCCCTTTTACTGAGCTCAGCCTTGAAATTGCATTCTGTAGGAGAATAATATGTGGATTTCCTACAGTAGTTGTCAGTCATTGTGATAAGCCTCAGCATACTATTTCCTACGTTCTTTCCAGTCTCTGCATAATTATGGGGAAATTACATTTTGATTGACTAGAACAGACACCTGTCACATGGAGAAGTTCTAAAAGAATTAATTGCGCTGTATTTTTTCAGGAATTGCTTTTTTATATATCCATATATGCATTCTTAAGCTTTATAATGTTTTAAAATGCAGCTAATTCAAAGATAGCAAAAATCCTTACTATAGCCGTGTTTTCCAACTGTGTCTCCACTTGACAATTACAGCCAGAGCTAATCAATAAAAGTAATATTACCCCTCCATCTGCCCTAAAAGAGTTGAAACACAAACAGTAAGGGAAACAAAATATTAGTAAACCACTTAATCAAACTCTATCATTTTGACAGGCGGCCATATGTTGCCTGGCTCATGAACTCGTCCGGGTAAGATGGCCCCTGTGGGGCCCATTAGCACCGCAGTGAGGAAGCACCGGTTTACTGTCGCCTTGGCATCCTCTCCCGCCCTGGCTGCTGGTTCAGGAAGAGGTGCCAGCGCTCACACACAGAGACCCAGGGCCGGGGAGAAAACCACTTCCTGTCCCAGCACCGTGGTCCTCCCAACCGTTTTTCTTAGCTCACACAAAGATGCAATGCTATGTTTTCGGTTTAAATGGAGAAGCTGTTTTTTTAAGGAATTAGAAATGCTAAATCAGTATACATATACAATTTACAAAAATTCAAAAAGAGCAAAGGAGCAAAAATGCTAAAACAACAAAAGAGTAGTCAGTGAAAGGAAATCTCCCCTTCATCCCTGTTTCCCAGCAGCCCACTTTCTTAGGAGCCAAGTTCTTTTAGCTCTATCGTGAGCGTTTTCCCAGGGCTGTACTATGTATATATAAGTATAACCTTTTAAAAGTATTAGTGACAGCAAATTCTACACAGTATTCTGCCCAGATCTCTCTCTCTCTCTCTTTTTTTTTTTTTTTTACTTAGTAATATGTCTGTATTTGTAGAGATTTCATAATCTTTTTTTAAAAATATTTTTATGCCGAAACTGGTTTGGCTCAGTGGTAGAGCGTCGGTCTGCGGACTGTAAGGTCCCGGATTTGATTCTGGTCAAGGGCATGTACCTTGGTTGCGAGCACGTCCCCAGTAGGGGGTGTGCAAGAGGCAGCTGGTAAATGTTTCTCTCTCATCGACGTTTCTAGCTCTCTATCTCTCTCCCTTCCTCTCTGAAAAAAAATCAATAAAATATATTTTTTTAAAAAAAATTTTTTATTAGCATTAATTTATTTGTAAAAGCTAAAATTGGTAAGATGTATTATGAAACGAAATCATGAAAATATTAACATTTTGCTGTTGTCTAATGTATTAAAATTGTATATAGAACAAGGGGGCCTTAATAGCAAAATAATATTGAAAAAGAAGAACAAGTTAGAAGATACCCTTGCCAGTTTCAAAACTTCTATTGCAAAGCTACAATAATCAAAACAATGTGTTACTACTGCCCTCGTTTGTTTGGCTCAATGGATAGAGCATCCGCATGAGGACTGAAGGGTCCCAGGTTTAATTCCAGTCAAGGGCAGATGCTAGGGTTGTAGGCCCGATCCCCAGTAGGGGGCATACAGGAGATAGCCGATCAATGATTCTTTCTCATCATTGATATTCCTCCCTCCCTCCTTCCCTCCCTCCCTCTCTCCCTCTCCTTCCCTCCCTTCCTCTCTCCCTCTACTTCCTCTCTGAAATCAATAAAAATATATTTTAAATAAAACACAAGAAAACATTAAAAAAAAAAGTGTTACTGGCATAGGGAAAGACAGAACAATGGGATAATGGAGAGTCTAGAAATAAACCTTATACATCTATGACTATTTGATTTTAACAAGAATTTCGTGCGTCAGGCCCTTAGTCATTAGCTTATTACTCTTTGGTTGGTTGAATGGCCAACTGGTTGACTGGACACTTAGCATATTAGGCTCCTATTACATAGGATTGATTTTTGCCTGGTGGGCAAGTTAGTGTTGTACCCTTTTAATACCCATAGAGAGTTACTTGATTAAGTGTTCAAAGCTAATAAGTGGCAAAACAAAAAATCCTCTTAAGTCTTTTGACTTTTCTATTACTATGCATCATACTATGTTTCCATATCCAATTGTTTTGCCTGTTTGAAGCCCTTTAAATGGTTTTTGTGTTTGTTCTAAGGATTTCTTTTACCTCTTATTTATTCTCACTAACTGAAGTCTATCCTTAATCCTTGCCAAAGACAGCTTTTGGATAATAGATTTGATGTTTCTGGCTTCAGTTTTAATAAGCCTTCTCTAGGGTGGTAAATGATTGCTTCTTGAAGAGAACATTAGCAACCAAGAATAGTGATAGAATATTCACCACAATCACTTTTGGCTTTTGCTTTTGTTTTTTAGTAAGTATATGTATTTTTAAATATATCTTTTTATTGATTTCAGAAAGGAAGGGAAAGTGAGAGAGAAACATCAATGATGAGAGAGAATAATTGATTGGGGCTTCCTTCTGTATATCCCTGCTGGTGATCAAGCCCACAAGCTGGGTATGTGCTCCTATCAGAAATTGAACTGTGACCTCCCAGTTCATAGGTTGACACTCAACCACTGAGCCACACCGGCTGGGCTGTCTTCCTTCCTCCCTCCCTCCCTACCTCCCTCCTCCCTCCTTTTCCTCCCTCCTCCCTCCCTCCCTCCCTCCTTCCCTCCCTCCTCCTTCCTTCCTTCCCTCCCTCCCTCCTTCCCTCCCTCTTCCTTCCTTCCTTCCTTCCCTCCCTTCCTCCCTCCCTCCCTTTCTCCCTCCTTCCTTTTCTTCCTTTCCTTCCTTTCCTTACTTCCTTCCTTTTTTTTTTTTTTTTTTTTTCCTTTCAGTTTTTGATGCTAGACCAAAAAGGACTGGAGTTAGGATTTAAATTCACTAAGTAATTACCCTTCTATGCATAACCCATGGACACAGGCAATAGGGTAGTGAAGACCTGGGGTGGGTGTGGGATAAAGACTGGGAAGATGGAGAAAAGGAGGAAATAGGAGATATCTGTAATACTGTTAACAATAAAAATATATAAAAATTTAAAAAATGTAATTGAAAGAAATTACAAATGTAAATTCACTAAGTATTTAGGTAATCTCCATATAAATTGGAGTGATGACTAATATAGGGAAGCTTTAAAAACAGATTTTTAAAAAAGATATTTACAGTAGTTCTTTGCGTAACCTGATCATTTTAGTTGCTAAGATTGTATTTCACAAAGTTTATGTGGTTTGGTGGTTGATTTTTCATGTTAAAGTGGTGATAATTGCAAATATTCTGAAATAGACTAATTATAATTACTTTCATTTAGATATTGAATATAAGAGTAAATATTTAATCATCTTTGTATGTGGTCAGAAAGACTGTTAAGTTTCTTTTTTGACATGACTTAATAGCAATGATGATATTTCCAATTCTTTGCACTTGTTCACAGAAATATAAAGTTAGTTATGATTACTTAAGAAAACATGTTCTAGATAAATGTAAAGATTATATATTTTCTTTTTTTAAAAAAATAGGAGCAGATGTCTCAAGTATTAGATGCCATGTTTGAAAAATTGGTCAAAGAAGGGGAACACGTAATTGATCAAGGCGATGATGGTGACAACTTTTACGTAATCGATAGGTAAGTTTTGCTTTAACTTCCCTACCGAAATGTAACGAACCTTCTGTGTAAAATTTCAATTGTTATAATGATAGCCAATTAATATATAGTTGCTTTTGCCTCTTTACTTTTGTTATTACCCAACAGGCACTATAAACCCGCTCTGAATGCTTTTAGGGGTAATTAGATGAGAGTTCTAAAATGTAAGAGAGAGCAGTCTGAACCGAGCCTTTATTTCTTCACTTTTGTAAAGCGATGATGACGTGTGTATGAGTCAGTTGGTATCCCCAGCCCTTCTCGCTCTGTGTGGGTCACAGATTGTCTCCAGCCTGATTCATTGCATCACATTTGCTTCTCTGGGTACAACTGTGTTTAACGCAGAAGTCTTGCGGAAAATCATTTACCATCTGCTTAGTCTTCATTCTTTGTTCCTGACTCTGGGTGCTGCCTGTCATAAATCAGTAGTGCATCGTCTCTGGATCAAGGGTTTTCACTGATGCCTCTGTTCCCTCATCCCCCATGCCCCGTGACCTTAGGAAGCTGTAGCCAGGGCTGTGGTAGAGTCTGCTTTTAGAACCAGATAGTGTCCCTGGCATATGCTAATGACCTTTTACTGCTTATTGTCATCAGAGGGGAAAGGAAGGCGGGAATGAGATTTTATTGCATAGGGCTTTTCTCTCAAATCAGGTTTTTTTGGAATGAGGTTTTACTTGAATTACTTTTACCTCTTATTTTCCCTGTGCCCAACAGAGGAACATTCGATATTTATGTGAAATGTGACGGTGTTGGAAGATGTGTGGGTAACTATGATAACCGTGGGAGCTTTGGAGAACTGGCCTTAATGTACAACACACCCAGAGCAGCTACAATCACTGCTACCTCTCCTGGTGCTCTGTGGGGCTTGGTGAGTGAGGCTTTAGCTAACAGGAATGTATTATATATGTGAAAGTTGCTAAAAGTGAATCTTAAATGTTCTTACTACAAAGGAGAAATGTTAATTATGTGAGGTGATAAAGATAGTCATGTCAGTATATAAGTCAATAGTGCGTATACTTTTAAGTTAATTATATCTCAAAGTTGAGGTGGGGAAAAGAACTGTGCTGGTATCTAGTTTTGTAAATGGTGCAACAGTGCCACCTTGTGGGGTTAGCCTAATTACATGGTGGTAAATCTGAATTAAAAAAACTGATTCTTTGTTAAAAAACTGAATATAATATTTTATATGGCTCTATATTTTATGCTAAGAGAAATAAAAATCTTAAGAAACATTAAAAGTATAATAATATTTTACATTCTGCCTTTAGGACAGGGTAACCTTCAGGAGAATAATTGTAAAAAATAATGCCAAAAAGAGAAAAATGTATGAAAATTTTATCGAGTCACTGCCATTCCTTAAATCTTTGGAAGTAAGTATATGTTTTTATTTTTTTTTTAAAGCTTCTGTGTTCCTTAGGAATGTTTATTTCTATACAAAAGTTTCCTTTAATAAAAACGAATTTTCATTGAAAGATTAAATTATAATTTTTGTTTAGCTCAGTATTTCTTTTACTACCTATAACTGCATTTGTCTTATTGTTTATAAGTAATAGATTCCTGTGAGCATCTATAGCATAGGTATAGGTGGTCCCTTTCTGAAAGCAGACTTAAAATAACCATGTAAAAGTCAGCAGTAGCTACCATTTATACCTTTACAGGTAGAGGTGATCTAAATACACAATGCCAATATTAACTCAATGTAGTGAATATCTATTATAAACATATCAGGGAAAAGAAACAAAAAATAGAACAAAATTCTCTCCCTCACCAAAAAATAAATCCTTCCAGTTAAAAAAAAAAAAAAAAAAAGCCCTTATGTCCTCTCTGGCCTCCTCTTCTCAGTCACCTTTGCTCCTTCATTCAGGCTACTCTTATCCACTTGGTGAGCTTGTCAGGTCCCCTGGCTTTTAGCACGGTGTGCTCATGTCTTTTAACGCTGACGTCCTCGGACAAGGCCCCTCCCTAGGATGCCAGACTCGCTTACCTAATTGCGTATTTAACGTTTCCTCTCAGACCCCTCATAGACATCCCAGGTCTCACGTCCTGCATCTACTCTGCCCCTGTCTCATATTGGCGGCTGGCAGCATTGTCCTTCCAGCATCTAGCCAAATACTTGATAGTCAGTACTGACTCATCTACTGAAGTATCTGTGCTGTATTGTCAGTTTATGCCTGGCAGAACTTCTGGCCACGTTACAGAATGCATAACAGGCAGCTGGTCTTTTGTAGCAGCATCTCTCTAAATAAAAATACATCAGGGGTTGGAAATCCAAATGCACTCAGAGTGAAGCAAGTAACATAAAAAAGAAAAACCGAGCCACAAGGCTGGGGTTTTGGAAAACTGGAGGACATGTGCTCCATCTAAAGAAACAGCTGCTGCTTCACCACAGTTCATTGTTGCCAGGTGGAAATGCAGGCTGGATGTTGCTGGCTCTCCTGATTTTTCAAGAGAAGCTGGAAATTCAAATTTTTTGCAAGAAATTTATTTTAAAATACAGGCTGTTAATATCACACACAAACCCACATGCTGCTCGGTTTATTTGGCTTTTAGGCTGCCCATTTTTAAACCTCTGAAATAGGTAAGATTTCCCAGTTAATCTATTAAATAGTCGTCTTTTTTTCCTTGGTAGGTTTCTGAACGCCTGAAAGTGGTAGATGTGATAGGCACCAAAGTATACAACGATGGAGAACAAATCATTGCTCAGGTATAATCGTTTTTACGCAATATAGTTTAAGGTCCTATCCCAAAAGGTTCTTATACGTTGTGTATCTTGATGAGTTTTAGCATGTTGTGATGGATTAAATGAATATTATTTTTACCAATGACCAGTTATAAATGGTTTAATTTATAGCCATTAAGCTATTTGAATACTTTTATTTACATAACTAGGGGCCCAGTGCACGAATTTGTGCACCTTGAAAGGAACTGTGGGCCGCGAGGCTGCAGTGGGCACTGGGTGGGTCTCAGCCTCTCCTCCACATCCCTGCCCGGTGCCCTCTCTGCCGGCAGCCCCGCTCCCGCTGCCACCGCTCCCATGCGCCGACAGTGCCAAGCCTACTTGCACCCACGACAGTGCCATCAGTGGGTGTTGCAATAGCTGCTGCCTGGATCGCCCCTCTGGTGCACGGGAAGGTGGAAAATCCCTTAGGAGCGATCAGGGCTGGCAGCCACTGCTCACACCTGCTAATAGCACCAAGCAATGGGGACTGGCACCAGGTACTGGCAGTGGGTGGGAGTGGGGCCGGTGCCGGCAACAGGTGCGGGTGCCAAGCGGGACCACAGCACGCAGGAACAAAGACTTTTCAGTAACCACCAGAGGCTCACCCCGATGACAGTGATTGGCGCCCTGTCTTGGTCTGGCTCCCTCGCTCACCTGCTCCACCATCCCACCATGGCCAATGCCCACCATGTTCCACGCATTCTCTCTGGTGGCCAGCACATGTCATAGCGACCGGTTGGTTGGTTGTTCCGCCATTCAGTCTTTTTGCATATTAGCCTTTTATTAGATAGGATTAAGTCCTAATGAATATATCTTAAATCATCAAATGCATTTTCTGCATAATTTTATATTTGTACACGACCTGCATATAAAGAATAATAAGATGCCATTTATAAGAGGGAAAAAACAGGTGAAATTAATAAAGACTCAGAAGGTACATGAGGGACACCCCACCCCCACCCCCGCATGAATTTCATGCACTGGGCCTCTAATATAATATAAATCGACTTAATATTTTGTAATGTAATCTGATAATGTATTTCTAGAACTGTAGTACTAAAGAGTTTTGAAGTAACTAAATTTCTTCAAAATCACTTTGAGAGACAGGAAAAGTCAGTATCTACTGTCGTTTATATTATACTATTTAATTTAGAAGGCAGCATTGGAAATCAAAGCAGAGTTTATTCAAAAACACCACCAAGTCCCTGGCATGGCTCAATGGTTGAGCATCGACCTTTCAACCAGGAGGACATGGTTTGATTCCTGGTCAGGGTACATACCTGGGTTGAAGGCTCAATCCCTAGTGTGGGACATGCAGGAGCATCTCTCTCATCATTGATGTTTCTCTCTCACCCTCTCCCTTCCTCTCTGAAATAAAAATACATTTAACAAAAAAATAAACCACCAACAAGAAAAAATATGCAGTTAGAAATGACACTTTCTCTTTTTTAAGGGTTTTATTTTTTGTTTGTTATTTTCACTTAACGCCTTCATCTTTTTCACCCAGCTCCTAAAACCCCCAGTGTTTTTGAGGCCTTGAGATGGATTGTCAGTAAACTGGCATCTTAGGTCCCTAACTGCAGTCAAAACATCAGGACCCATATCTACAGTTTCCAAATAAGTATGGGTGTATTCTCTTGGAAAGTCGATGGCTTATCTTGGGCTACCATGCTTATACTTGTTACATGAGGACAACACAGCGTGTGCAGCACCTGCTGCTGTTCCTGCTGACTGAGCAGGTGCTGCTGGGAATGGCGCCACCTTTTCCAACCTTTCTGCCGTTCTCCAGGCTGACATCTGGGTGGAATTCTTACCCACCGTTATTTGCCATATTTTCTCGACTCAAATGCTATGGTAGAGAGTATATTACTTCACAAATGAAATCATTACTATATGATTGTCTATTGTAACCTCTCTTTAGGAAGATAAAGTCTGTTCTCCATGAGGATTCACTTTCTAGGCAAATCATCTGTACATTGGGATTGGATTGACTTCAGGGTTTGGATAGGCAAGAGGATCTTTGTCAACTAAATTTGCATTTTTCACTCTCTGTTTTTGTTTTATTCTTATAGGGAGATTCGGCTGATTCTTTTTTCATTGTAGAATCTGGAGAAGTGAAAATTACTATGAAAAGGAAGGTGAGTTTTAAAAATTCCACCTATTAGCTAGGAACATAACCAGTTTCCTTTTTGATGTTTAGACTAAGGTTAACTCTTGTTTTTTCAACATGCAGAGTCAAAGCTGATGCTTTTAATTACCTTGTCAGGGCAAAGCAGAAGTGGAAGAGAACGGTGCAGTGGAAATCGCCCGCTGTTCTCGGGGACAGTACTTCGGAGAACTTGCTCTGGTAACCAACAAACCTCGAGCAGCCTCTGCACACGCCATTGGGACCGTCAAATGTTTAGGTAGGACTCACCACGGTGGGCATGCTTCCCCTGGTGGATGTTGTGTCCGCATTTTATGTATCCATGTTGTACAGATTATTTTATAGGGTCCACAGGTTTTATGGTCTCCAACATAACAAAGGAAGCATTCATTGCTTTATACAATCAGTTTGTGGAAGCCATTTAAAAAGAAATAATTTCACATAACCCAGCTGGAGTGGCTCAGGGGTTGAGCATCAACCTATGAACCAGGTTACGGTTCGATTCCCAGTCAGGGCACATGCCAGGGTTGTGGGCTCAGTCCCTGGTGGGAGGTGTGCAGGAGGCGGCCAATCAAGGATTCTCTCTCATCACTGATGTTTCTCTCTCTCTCCCTTCCTCTCTGAAATCAATAATAATAATAATTATTATTATTATTATTTCACATACATATATATTGTATTCTTTTCTCTAGGCATGAAATAACATTTATTTATTTTTTAAATATATTTTATTGATTTTGTACAGAGAAGAAGGGAGAGATAGAGAGTTAGAAACATCAATGAGAGAGAGTCATCAATCAGCTGCCTCTTGCACACCCCCTACTGGGGATGTGCCTGCAACCAAGGTACATGCCCTTGACCGGAATCGAACCAGAGACCTTTCAGTCCCCAAGCCGACGCTCTATCCATTGAGCCAAACCGGTTTCGGCTGAAATAACATTTTAATACTAGAGGCCCAGTGCATGAGAAATTGTGCACTTGGGGGCGGGGGCGGGGACCTCTCAGCTTAGCCTGAGCCCTCTTGCAGTCTGGGAGCTCTTGGGGGATGTCCAACTGATGGCTTAGGCCTCCTCCCAAGCCAGCAGTCGGACATCCTTAGCGCTGCTGCTGAAGTGAGAGAGACTCCCGCCACCACTGCGCAGTGCGCAGCTCTTTTCATTCATTATAACTCAGGCACATTCTCATTTTATTACATTGAATTGTAACACTTTATTAGGAAATATGCACAGTGTAAACTATTCAGTGTTCCGCCCAGTGTCCCTCCTCTCCCTCTCCCTCCCCTACACACACACTGGTAAATATTTTGAGGGTTTTGGCTCCATTTGGAGGGAGGGCCTTTTTTTGATGTGTGTAGACTACTTTTCCATACATAGAATTTTCCCTTAGAAATGATTTTGGAAGCGGTTTTCTTTTTGGAACTTTTGATAGATTGTATATTGCCAAGTCACTTTTATTTGTGCAAATTTGCATGCTACCAGCAGTGTAAGAATGGCCATTCACTCTATTTTTGGAAGCCTTGCTTTCTACCTTTTTGAAAGGGAAAAAAAAAGTGAATTCTAATTTGTGGATAGTTCTGTGGTTAAGACTGATCATATTTTCCATGTGTGTATTATAAGTTTAGTTTTTAGACATGCATGAGACAGGCAGGTAAAATGACTTAGAGAAGTGGACAAAAAGCATTATTTTAGTTGCCATTTTTAAGTGACTAGACAAAGATATGAGTAAAAACTATAGGAGATAGCATCTGGCCTTCCAAACATTGCATTGTCCACCCTGAGGGAAACGGAACACGCCCCTGGCCAGCTCTGAAGATTGTGTGTGCGCTCAGGTGTTGACATTGTTTTTGTTGTTGTTTTGTTTTTGTTTTTTTTTAATTCTAAGGCCTTGCCCTTAATAGTCCCTCGTTCTTTTTTTTTTTTTTTTTTTTTTTAATATATTTTATTGATTTTATACAGAGAGGAAGGGAGAGAGATAGAGAGTTAGAAACATTGATGAGAGAGTCATCAATCAGCTGCCTCTTGTACACCCCCTACTGGGGATATGCCCGCAACCAAGGTACATGCCCTTGATCGGAATCGAACCTGGGACCCTTCAGTCCCCAAGCCGACGCTCTATCCATTGAGCCAAACCAGTCCCGGCAGTCCCTCGTTCTTTTCCCAGCCTGATCAGGAACCTCCCGCCAACCTTGCATTGCACATCACATTGCCCAGGGACTCTACTTCCTTTGGAAGTGGAACATTTTTATCTTTACGCCTTCTTCTTGTATGTTTATCTAATATAATTGCATTTTCCCCCATTTTTTTTTATTAAGGTATTACATGTTTACATATCTTACCATTGCCCCACCCCACTCCCATACATGCATGCCCTCAACCCTCTCTTCCCCCACAGTGTCTTGCGTCCATTGGTTATGCTTATATGCATGCATACAAGTCCTTCGGTTGATCTCTTATTACCCCACCTTTCCCTAACCTTCCCACTATAATTTGACAGTCTGTTTGATGCTTTACTGTCTCTGTATCTATCTTTTTGTTCATCAATTTACAATGTTCTTTATTATCCATAAATGAATGCGATCGTGTAGTATTTTTCTTTCATTGACTGGCTTATTTTACTTAGCATAATGTTCTCCAATCCCATCCAGGTTGCTGCAAATGGTAAGAATTCCTTCTTTTTAATGGCAGCATAGTATTCCATTGTGTAGATGTACCATAGTTTTCTGATCCAGTCACCTGCTGCTGGGCACTTAGGCTGTTTCCAAATCTTAGCTATTTTAAATTGAATAATTGCATTATTGACATCGACAGAATACCATAAATGACTCAGGAATTCTGTCGATTTTCAAATAATGTTATTCATGTTTCTTTTATTCTCCCCTTTTCTTAGCCATGGATGTGCAAGCATTTGAAAGGCTTTTGGGACCTTGCATGGAAATCATGAAAAGGAACATCACCACCTATGAAGAACAATTAGTTGCCCTGTTTGGAACAAATATGGATATTGTTGAACCCACTGCATGAAGCAAACGTATGGAGCAAGAAGACCTATAGGGACAAAATTACACAGTAGTGGTTAGTCCACTGAGAATGTGTTTGTGTAGATGCCAAGCATTTTCTGTGATTTCCGGTCTTTTCCTTTTTTTACATTTACAATGTATCAGTAAACAGAGTAGTGATTTAATAGGCAATAGGCTTTAACATCACTTTCTAAAGAATAGATCATAAAAAATATCAACATACTGATAAAATGATTTTCTACTCCCACAAAATTGACTGAAAGGTTTATCCAATGATTGTAATATACTGCAAGTGTCTGTTTAAGAAGATAATTAAAGGATGTTATCATAGGCCATCTGTGTTTGTTTTGACTTACTCAGAACGATATGTCAGTGACTGTGCCCGTGTCAGAGGGAACTCGGCAATGAATCATGCTACACAGCATGGCATCACATTCTTTTTGCAACTCATTATACATATAGTAAGTACAATTTTAATCATTTTTCTTTCAAAGTTTTCCTAGCTTGAAAAGTGATATGCTGGCCTTGACCTGTTGGTGAAATGGTATAAAACAGCATATGCAATTTAAAAACCTTTTATATTTTTGCAATAAAGTACATTTTGACTTCTCCGGCATAATGTCAGTAACCGATGGTTTTAAGGACAGGCAATTGAATCACTGTAATAGAGAAGAATCTTTTTTAAGTGAGAGACTATTAACACCTTTTCCCTCTGCTTCCTTTTTCACTTGCAATTCTCTGTACTCTTTATCTTTAAAAATTTTAGTTTGACATATAATGTCACAAGTTTTTTTTGGAAAGCTATTTAGATTTATTTGTTGTCTTCTAAAAGTCTAAGATCTTATATATACTACCAAAAAAAATCTTTACTAAAAATAATTTGGGGTCCTTAACATGCCCACAGAATATTTTTGTTCTTCATTTGTATCCATAGTAGCTTTCTATCAGACATCTGCTCCCATAGGGTTCCTCCAAGGTGGTAATAAAATTTTAGAGACAAAATCATATGCAAAGATAAAAGGAATTTCTGCCCATGCCAAACGTACCATTAGGCTTTGCCATTTGCTTTAGTGCAGAATAAACTCAACCAGAACAGATTTTCATTGGTCATTTATAGACTTGTTTTTGGCCACGTAAGATGAATTAAATTCAACCAAAGCAAGATAGCCTTACATTTCTAGCCTACATGACCCCAGTGTCTAGATTGATTAATTCTAACCACTTGACTTTTAACCAATCAATTCCACTTGAGAAATATGTTTTAAAGAAATATATACACAAGTAAAATTATTCTGTGGCTAGTGTGGTCTTATTAGAGAATGTTTATGGTCTTACTTGTATAATAAAAAATGTGATTTAAAATGTGAACCAGATAATATATATACACAAGAAGTTGTAAAGCATAACTTCAGCCACATTTTAGAACACTTTAACATTTTGCAAACTTTTTTGTAGGAAGAGAACTTACTACATGAAGATGACTTGTTTTTTCTTTTTTTTGTAGACTGGGAGGTAAATGAAAAGAGCAATATTTTCTATGCATTCATCTCCCTTAGCCTGTATTGCAATGTCCCAAAATTTAATTAACAGAACAGGGAAGCTGCCCTGAAACTAGCTCAATACTTTGGATAACATGACTTTTCTGTTTGATTTTATTTTAAAAGCCATGTTAATATAAAACACACAGAACTCCAGATTTCTGGTTTATCATTCTGTATTCTTTATTCACTATTTTGTTACATAAGCTCATTGCTAACTATTCATGGAATAGCAAAAAAATGCCTGTTTAATAAAGAACTCTGAGGCTGTGCCAGTTACATTATTTTCAGTATTGGTTATATTTAAATTTTCCTTATTAATAAAGCACACTTTTATAATATACTATGTTAATTGTATTTAATGAATTTTTATTTTTTGCCTTTTAAAAAAAATTTCACCTGACAGTATTTCTTTTTTTAAATTGATTTTAGAGAGGGAGGAAGGGAAAGAGAGAGAGAGAAACATTAATGTGAAACATAGGTTGCTTCCCATACATGGCCAGACCAGGGATTGAACCCACAACTTAGGTATGTTCCCTGACCTGGAATTGAACCTGCAACCTACCAGTGCACAGGACAGTGCTCCAAGTCACACCGGCCAGGGCCTGAGGATATATTTGCATTGACTTTTTTTTTTTTAGAGAGGAAGAGGAGAAATAGACATCAATTTGAGAGAGTTATATCAATTGGTTGCTTCCCATATACACTGCAACCAGGAATCGAACCCACAACCTAGATATGTGCCCTGACCAGAAATCAAACCCACTACCATTTTGGTGCATGGGATACTCCAACCGAGCCACCCGGCCAAGGGCTGGCTTGTTTTTAAATATGACTTTCATAGCGCAAGCTGCACCATGTGAAAAGCCTGAGAGAGCGAGCATAGGTGAAAGCTAACAACCTGAGCCTAATGTGGCAAGAAAGTGTGGTTCTGAATGACAGTAGAGTTTTTAAAAGTTTATTCATATATCTGTGATGTGTTTATATAATTATGGTATATTAGATTACCAAATAAATCTGGCTAAGGAATTTATGTCAAAGTATCTAACATGCTTCCTTTGACTTGTGGATGTTCTTAATCACTAAGAATCCTTACTACTGTCTGGAAACTCTCGGTTGAAGTTTCATTCAAAGATGTATTATGTGTGGCCCAGAATTCTCAGAGGCTCTGATCTGGTAGCTCATTTAGTTAGCACATCGCCCCAAAATACCACAGTCGCAGGTTTGATCCCATCAGGGAACATACAATAATCAACCGATGAATGCATGAAACAAATTGATGTTTCTCTTTCTCCCTTCTTTCCTGCCTCTAAAATCAATTTTTGAAAAAGAGAATGTCTCAGAGAATACTTTTTTAACATAAAGGTTTTCCCCCTTCATTATTATTATTTTGTTGTTAATCCTCACTCAAGGATATTTCTTTTTTTTTTTTTTTTTTTAGAGAGAGAGAGAGAGCATGGAAGAGTGGGGAGGGGTGAAGAAAGAGGGAGGAAAAAAAAAAGAAAGAGGGATAGAGAAACATCAATGTGAGAGAGAGACATCAATTGGTTGCTTCTCACAAGTGTCTGACTGGGGCAGGGGATTGAACCTGCAATCCTGGTACATGCCCTTGATTGGGATTTGAACCTGCGACCCTTTTGGTGGGTGGACCACTGAGCACACTAACCAGGTCACCCCTGGATTATTTTAAATAACTATAAAGAATGTGTATATGCTACCTCCATATCCCTATGAACTAGGGCTTGGTACATATATCTTAACATAAATAAATACAAACTGTGACACAAGATGTATTTGATTTGTTGTTATACACTTGTACAGTGGTTGGCAAACTCATTAGTCAACAGAGCCAAATATCAACAGTACAATAATCAAAATTTTTTTGGAGAGCCAATTTTTAAAAAAATATATATTTCTTTTATTGATTTCAGAGAGGAAGGGAGTGGGGAGAGACAGAAACATCAATGATGAAAGGGGATCATTGATTGGCTGCCTCCTGCACGCCCCACACTGAGGATCAAACCCGCAACCTGGGCATGTGCCCTTGGCCAGAATTGAACCTGGGACCCTTCAGTCTGCAGGCCGATGCTCTATTCACTGAGCAAAACTGGCCAGGGCAAGAGCCACATTTTTTAAACTTCTAATGCCACCTCAAAAGAGACTCGCCCAGGCCGTGGTGTTTTGTGGAAGAGCCACACTCAAGGGGCCGAAGAGCCGCATGTGGCTCGAAAGCCGCAGCGTGCCGCCACGGCACTTGTGGGAAGCAGACCGTTTGCTATGCTCAGAAATGGTGCCAGTGAAACATGGTGCATGAAACAAGGGACTATGCATTTTACTGAAATATGTAAGGTTAAGTCCTTTTCCTTTCTAAAGTATCTTTAAAATGATGTGATTTTCCCTACTTTTCTCAAGAAATGTTACATCTCTGGCAAGGATTAGGTGACCTTTGGCATTCTTAAAAGAAAATTAATACTATCTAAGCCTAGAGGAGCAATACATCTGGATAAGCCAAGGCTTTGTTTAAATAACTGAAGGAGGGATTCTGGTATGCCTCTATGTTAATGCCTACAATGACTAATACATGATGGAGAAATAGAATCACGGATTCCAAGAGGGTGGTGAAGCCCGTGGAAGTTACACTCGCCTCCCAACACCAAACTGGATCACAACTAAATTAAAGAACAATCGTCCTGAATAACCAACTGAAGACGAGCTGAAGAGAAGTCCTATAACCAAGGATTTACAGAAGCCACATCGAGCCCGGAAGAAAGGGTGGAGATGGGAAAAGGCCTGGCCCTGCTCCCACGGGCAGGAATTGAAGTTCTGGAGGGATATCTCGGCTCCCTGTGTGTGTGGTTCCGCTGAGGAGTGTGGGGTCTCCACCTCATACTCCACAGTCCGGAGCACCACAGCCAGGAAGAGATGCCCATAGAGTATCTGGTGTGAAGAGAAGCAGGGTTTCTGTTCAAAAGGGAGAACAGAGTCCACTAGAGACACGGGCATCTCTTAAAGTACAAACACAATTTCATCCGCAGTCACCCAGGGTGCAGCAGAGGGAGGACAGAGTGCACTAGTCTCATCTAAGGAGTGTCCGGGGTTTGTGGCTCTGGGGCCGGAGCTAAGGTGGCATTGGCCAGAATCCCTGTGCTGAGTCATTCGCCCATATCACGAATTCCATCCTTTTTTTGGGTGGGGCATTCTAGTGCCCTGTGGCACCAGCCAGGGGAAAGCAGTAGCTCCACACTCTGGAAGCCCACTTGCCCTACCCTGGGGAGTTGAGGCCCTGCTGAGGAGTCAGCAGCGTTGGCCAGTGGGTAGAGTTCTGGGCAGACTTAGGGGGTGTCGGTGACAGCTGTGTGGCTTTGAGGTGGGGGCCATTCCACCCACTTTCCCTTGAACCTGATTGACACTTCTCCCTCACGGGAGATCCATTTGTGCCCACATCCCTGAGGCTCTTTCAGTGACTGAGCCTAACAGCCAGCCAGCAGGTAGAGGCAAGAAGAGACTTGTCGGGGTGCCTGGGGACTTTTGCTAACTGCCTCTCCCTCCCCCCAGATGTGATGATGGTAAAAGCTGACCTTAGTGCTCAGCTTGGTCCTGCCTGCCTGCATACAAGCCCAGCTATCAGTGGCCCCACTCTCTTGACTCGGTGGCTCCACCCAACTGAAGTGTAGGCAGAACCTGGGACAGTCTGAGTTGTGTGGCTCTGAGGTAGGGGCCTCTCACCCCAACTTCCCCCAAACCTGACAGGCACCTCCCACTCTCTTGACTCCAAGGGGCCCCTCCCTGCTGAGATCAGGCTCTGATAGAATCTTACCAGGGATTGAGGTGCTTGGCTCTTGATGGGAAATTTTCCTGTCACGTGTCCTGTACAAAGCCTTCCCTTCACCAGGTCAAATCTTAGGCCTGATAAACTCTGTAAGCCTCACCTTGATGACTCTCTGAGACCCTGCCATACCACAAAGGGGTGTGAGCACCTAGCAGGTGGCAGCTAGACTTGGTGTATACCCTGGGACATTTGGGCCTTACACCCAGCCCTGGCACTAAGATTGAACCCAAGTATTTCTGGAGAATTCCTCTCACCCTACTTAGTGATTCACTGAGAACCTATTGCATGCGACACCAGTACTGCCAGAGGCTCTTTCAGTGACTGACCCAACAGGCGGCTGGCAGGCAGAGAGAGGGGGAGGCAGACCTCAGGGTTCCCGGGGAGCTTTGCTGACCTGCCCCCAGGTTCATTGCTGCTAAAAGCTAACCTGGATGCGCAGCTGGATCCTTCTTGCCCACACCTCGGCCCATCAGAAGCCGCCACAAACTGGGTTGCTTTGTTGCTCCAAACAAGTTTCCTCAGGGCTAGTCACAGGCAGTGTCGGACACGAACCTGCACCAGAGATGACCCTCCCAACAGGCCCCCAAACCAGCACACCCAGAGGACAGCTTCAGTCATCAGAGCAGCATCCAATGAGCTTCACAAGCAGCATATCTGAATAGAGACCTTAGCAGGCACCAGACACCCTTCTTTTATGAGTAGACTAAAGTGGAATTCTACAGAAAAAGCTGTCTACTATCTCATCCTCATGTGGGGGCCTCTAGAAATGCTTATTTCAGCAGTACCCCAAGAACCCCACTTCCAACAAGCCCCTCTCCAATAACAGTCCTAATAGTACAGTGGTCGCCAACCCTGGAATCTTTTTTCCTATTGATTTTTAGAGAAAAATGGAAGGTGGGGGTGGGGGGGAAGGAGAGGGAGGGGGAGGAGTGAAAGGCTGCTACAGGCACTCTGTTTGTGTGCCCCATGCTTCTAAGAGAAGGCCAATATTCAATACATCAGAATTTGGAGTAAGGGAGCTCAAGAAGATGAGAGAACCAGTACTCAAATCCATCTTGAGAGAGCTCAAAATTCAGGCTTCTTACATAGCAAGGGAAGAGTGGATATCTATAGCTGGAACTTTTAGCCACAGAGAGAGGAAGTATTTTACCACCTTACAAAGCTTTCAGTAAAGCTTACGAAGTAGAAAAAACTTTTTAAAGTAAGGTTTAGTCAAAAGCAGAGCTCACAGTTTATACCCAGAAGAGGGGAAAGGAGTGGCTCAAGCTATTTTGAGAACTCATTTTTGGGGGGAGGGGAAGGTTTTTCATTTCATGGAGGGAGTTAGACATAAATATCTCAGGTTTTAATTTTAAGTGGTGAGGTGAATAATATGGGTTTTTCTTTTTATCAAGGGATTTAACATTGAAGTTTATATTTTCTTTTTTTTTTTAAATACGTTTTTATTGATTTCAGAGAGGAAGGGAGAGGGAGATATAGAAACATCAAAGATGTCAGAGAATCATTGATTGGTTACCTTCTGCACGCCCCCTACTGGGGATTGAGCCGGTAACCCAGGCATGTGCCCTTGACGGGAATCGAACCTGGGATCCTTCAATCCGAAGACTAACACTCTATCCACTGAGCCACACCAGCGAGGACTGGAGTTTATATTTTCAATTCTAAAGCACAGTGAACCTCTACTGAAAAAACTAGAAGAGGAAGAAAATAAGGACATACAGAATTGCACAGACACAGTCCAGTTCTTTTTTGGTTCACTCTATTAATCTCTGAAGGATGATACATTTGAATTATTTTATTGGCCCTCTGAATTATTTTCAGAAAAAATGTTTGATTACTATTTGTGAATACAGAAAATAAACCTATGATCACATAGTAGGAAGGACTATTTTATAAATAATTCACTTAAGAATTCAAACAGGTGTCAATATAAAATAAGTCCAAACCTGTAAGAACTTTCCCGTGTTTATTTGAGCCAAACTGATGAAAACTGAAGGGAAGCAAAATCTCAAGGGACTGAGAAAATGCTCCAGAGAATACACCTTATTTTACATATTATAATCACAGGAGGAAGCCAGAGAGGGTCACAAGAAATTACTAGTAATTGGTGATAGATTAGGGTTGTGGGAGAAAACAAAGGAGATGGGTGTGTAGGGGAATCTCTGAAATTGGATAAAAAGTAAAATAAACAAATAAATAAATAACCTGGCTGGCATGGCTCTATGAACGAGGAGGTCATGGTTCAATTCCTGGTCAGGGCACATGCCTGGGTTGTTGGCTTGATTCCCAGTGGGGGGCATGCAGGAGGCAGCCCATCAATGATTCTCTGTCATCACTGGTATTTCTATCTCTCTCTTTCTCTCCCTCTCTGAAATCAATACAAAAAAAAATTTTTTTAAAGGTAAAACAAATAGACATCTTTTAGATGGGTGGGTATAAAATAGCCAAAGGTCAACTATCACCAAGAAGGGATTTGTGGTCTCTGCTCTGGTGGTTGTGCCCTGAGGGGTAGGGGTAGAGGGTGAGGTGGGGGGAGGAAAGTACTCAGTCTTTACAAATGTATATTTTCTTAGACGTGAAAAGACAATAGAGAGGTTTAGTTAAGGTAAAGATTGACCTTTATCAGTTAAGATGTGGCTCTAGGCCTAGATCGGTTTGGCTCAATGGATAGAGCAGTTTGGCTCAATGGATAGGCTTGGGGACTGAAAGGTCCCGGGTTCGATTCTGGTCAAGGGCATGTACCTTGGTTGCGGGCATATCTCCAGTAAGGGGGTGTGCAAGAGGCAGCTGATCGATGACTCTCTCTCATCGATGTTTCTAATAATCTCTCTCCCTTCCTCTCTGTACAAAATCAATAAAATATATTAAAAAAAAAAAAAAAAAAGATGATGTGGGTCTAGGACAGGCTTACCTTCCAAGGCCTTTTTGCCAGAAAGTTTTAATTTCAGCCCATCCTATGTGGTCACTTTAGATCTCAGAGTTTGTAAGGCCTGCCATGCTGGCCTCAAAGAATTTGAAAACTCTTTTCACCATATGAGTGTAATTTTGGATTTCTTGATTTGTTAAGTGGCTTTCAGGCCAGATTAAAATTTCAAGAAATGTAATTAAAGAAATAATCAGCTATGATTTCAGGTTCTTTTCCAAAGTTTGACTTTACTGATTTCTTACTATTAAATTTTCCTCCTCTTAAACTTTAAGCTTATATATAAGGATCTAAAGATATAAAACCTAAAGCACAGCTTAAGCGATTAAACATTAAAGGCTCAGAGGGAAAAGACTTTATAGTGGCTTTATAATGTGAATGGTAAACACATCAATTATATAGGAGATGGGCTGTGATGGATAGCCATGTTTGAAGTGAAGGTTACTGTAAGGCAGAGAAGCCTTCCCCTGGTGAGTCAGACAGAGAGCATTAGTAATTTAAGGAGGAATTCCTAGTGGGAAGACATTCATTCTTTCAACAATGGGAAAGCCCCAGGAAGTGGGGAAATGGTTACCAAAAACCCACCAGAGAAACTTAGATAATGATTTACAAATTATATCAGTTTACGTCACATTATACCCCTCTGTATTACCGTAACCAAGGAGCAAGCTGGTCAATATGGAAAGCACCAATGTCACTTCCCTCAATTTCAAAGCAAATAGTAATCGCCTTCCCCCCACTTTCCCCCTCTTCCAGCTTTGTAAATTCTCCAGACCCTAAGCTTCTCTCTTTCAACCGCCCATTCCCAAGTCTCTCAGTGCCTGGCATAGAGCCGCAACAAACCTTGGGTGTAACTACTACTGAGTTGGCAAAGAAATCTTAAGGTACTACTGTCTTGGGAGTGATGAAGGCAGGCTCAAAATAAAGAAAATCTAGTGTGTTTTTTTTTCCCCTCACGGGAGCCTAGCACCCCCTTTATAGTCCTCATTATGACTGGGACCGAGATTTGCGGGTGACTAGGTCCCCCCCAGAGGCTGCACTGCTTCCGCTGGCGTGTAGTCATCTCCTTCCCCCAGCCCTGAAACAATGCCTTGGCCAGCTGCCAAACCCTGAGCTGGGAGACACTTCGGCTGTTTACGGCCGCGAACGGGCGCTGCGAGAGGACCAGAAGCCCTTCCAGGCGCTAGGACAGGACCAGAGTAAAGAGAAGGGGCCAAACCTTTAAAACACTCCCTTCCTCCGCCTCCTCCCTTTTGTCCCAGACACCAAAACAAACCAGCTGATACACGTGTCCCTATGACTCTTGTTTACTATCAAGACTGCGCGGCACACGCACCTCTGGGATATGTAGTCCAGCCGGCTCCTCCGGCGCGCTGCCTCCCAGAGGGACGAAGCCGGGGCTGGGACTACAAACCCAAAATCCACTTCAGGCGCAAAGTTTGGCGTTGGTCCCCGGCCATCCAATCCGAAGCGCTCCTTCTAGTGACTGACACGCCGTCTCCTCCAGTAAACACAACACAAAAGTCAATACAAGCCCGCCCCCCGAGGCAGGCCAAGGTACCACCCAATGGGAAAAGGGAACGCTTGAGCGGCAGCTCTGCAGACCAGTGAGAGGGCGGAAGAGCTGGGCGGAGGCTCAGCCCCCGGGGGTGGAGGGGAGGGGGAAGACGAAGCTTGAAAGACTTGGTAATGGCGACGGGTTTGGTAAGTAGGAAAGTTTCGGGTGAGGAGTCAGCGCGGCGGCGGGGGCAGTCATGTACGCCGGGAGGCGGGCGCCGGCTGGAGACGGGTTACGCGAGCTGCCGGCGGTGTTGTCGCGGCCAGGACCAGCTCTGCCCGGGCTGCCCGCACTCCGCGGCGGGTTTGTTGTCTTTCACTTCGGGGAAGGGTGGGGGTGGGGAAGGGAGGGGCAGGATCCCGAGGGGGACGGACGGACGGCCGGACGGCCGGGCGAGCTCGGGGCCGTGTTCCTCGGCTTCGAGAGGCCGCCCTCACGGGGGAGACGAGTCACCATCCAGCGAACGGCCCGTTAAAACCCCGCGGGACCCGCGTCCCCCGCGAGCTCCCCGGGGCTCCGCGGCGGCAGCGGCGCGGCTCGGGGGGTCTCGGGGGCGCGGGCGGGGAGGAGGAGGAGGAGGGAGGACTTTGCTCCGAGCCCGGTAGCGCCGTGGGTGGCCCGACCTGGTGCGGACCGAGACGCGGCGGACCGGGGCCGCTGGACCCACCGGCCGACGCGGCGCTGGGGCTGCTCAGGAAAGTTTGACTTCAACTCCCCGCGTGTGGGCGGAGGGTCGGAAGTCGGCCCGCGGTGGGGGACCGGCCGGGGAATGGGGGGACCTCAGGGCGGCGCGGCCTCCTTCGGGGGGGGGGGCGGGCGGCGGGGCCGGAGCCGAGCTGGGGAGCCCGCGGCGGCGCCGGGGCCCCCGGGCTCATTGTTACGCAGTTCGAATGAATGGGCTGCGCGGCGCCTGCGCGGTGGGGCCGGGCCGCGGGGAAAACAAGCCTCTCGTCCCGGCCGCGGTCACATGATGGGGGAGGGGAGGGAGCGATGAATGGCGAAAGCGGTGGGGGATGGACTTGGCGGGGACCGAACCTGCGGGCGGGCGGGCGGGCGCTGCCTCCTGGGTGACGAGACTTGGCAGGCGGCTCCAGTCCCCGCCTTCCAACCGCTGCGGCTGCCCCGGGCCGATGAAAACGGCAACAAAAAGAATCAATCCTGGCGGAGTCGGCGGCGGCGGGGTGGGGGTGGGGGGGCGGTTTTTTGTAACTTGCTTGAAGGCTGCCTAGGCTAGGGGATTTCACTCGCTTCTGGGCATTCTGTCCTACGTATTTAGAATCCATTCTTGGGAAGTTTTCGGGAAGAATCATTTTTTAAAAGGAGCACTGACAGCAGGGCAGTACTCCAAAGAGTTTTTTAGCTGAGGGTGCCACTGATGGGTAAAAAACAAACAAACAAACAAAAAAAAAAACACACCCCAAAACAGAGGGGGGGCTGTGTATATTAGGAGTAATTGTTCAGAGTCCTACCGATAATGCCAGCCAAGTGCTTTAGATTGACGTAACCATCGAAGTCAGCTGTAACTGTTGACTCCCGACTGGTTTTGAAATTAAAGTTAACTTTTGAGAATTAGGGTAATTTTAACATTGTGCATACTTTTCTATTCTTTATTAGTAATTTACATTTGTAATGTATTCCTAGAACTTCTGGTCTTCGCCCTTTTTTTTTTTTTTTTTTTTTTTTTTTTTTTTTTTTTTTTTTACCTATTTTGTTTTATTTCTCTAACCAAGAGTGGTGAAGGAATTAGCTGAAGGACATATGGCCAGAGGGAAGGCGGGTGCTGGGGCTTGGGGTGGAGGAGGGCAAAGTGAGGGGAGGATGGGGACATGGTAATAGTGCCAACAATAAAAACAAGGCTAAAATAAAATGTTGATGCTAAAAAATAAAAAAAAAAGACTGTTAGGATCTTCTGTTCAGTTTTCTTGACTTCACTACCCAGTTATTGCTGTGTTGGCAATATTTGACACGTTTTCAAGAAATTTGAGTTATATTCAAAAGAATTAAATCTACTCAAGTTTTGAGGTTATTTATACTTTTGAGGAAGCCACTACAGCAAAATATTGCTGTTCATTCTAACTTCACTAATACATTATTTATAGAATGAAAATTTGGTTTCACTTTCTAGTCCCTGCCCATTACCTTTTCTTTCCGCCTGGAACATCCTTCTTCCCCTTTGTTCACTTCTCAGACTGTTCCTTTCTACGTGCATTAAAAGGTTACCTTCTACTGGGATTTCCCTGCACACGTCTTCATAATCTTACATGCTTCACAGTTGCCTATCTCTCAGACTTCAAACATGGTACTTTCACTTTAAGGAATGGTCTCCTCCAATGTATTTTCATTTCTTTGGACTCTTGTCACTGTCGAAGTGCTCAGTAGAGGAGAGAGATATAGCTTGGGTTTAATGAATGAACAAACTGCTAGGTACTGAAGATTTCCTGGAGGGGAGAATTGCAAGCTGGTATATTGTATTTATTTCTGTTTGAAATGAAGGTATCAGTATGTTTTTTTCCTGTCATAAATTATAAGATACTACCATGTTAATGAGATGTATTTTGCATGTATTTTAAGTATGAAAGTAAATATTTATGTAGAATGAAGATATAAATCACAATAAATTTTAAAATTTTAAAGCTGACATACCTTATATGTTACAAAGTTCAGGAAAAATGATATTAACTGACACATCAGTAATATTCCTTTCATAACAATCAAGTTTAGGAAAACAAATTTCAAATATGAAATTTATATTATTTTAATTGACAGTCCTCTTTTAAATAGGTTTGTGCATATAGTGGTGTATTGTGGTTTTCTGTTATCTTCACCAATATCAGCATTTTGTGTCAGATCAGCTAGAATTCAAAAGAATTTGTATAGATGTCATTTGGTGCTGTCCAGCAAAGGGAAGGAGTTAGTCTGAGTATCAGTGACCAATAGGGTACAAGAGTGCATGTGGGATGCAATATCTTTTATACCTACAATAATTATAATAGGCAGATAGATACTGGTCCCACCTATCTATCTACTATATCTATAAAAGCCCAACTATATATATAAAAGCCCAGTGACCGAATGGTGGAACTACCAGAATAACCAGTCACTATGACGAACACTGACCACCGGGGGCACACACTCAAAGCAGGAGCTGCCCCTGGTGGTCAGTGTGCTCCCACAGTGGGCGTGCTGCTCCTGCACGGAGCGGGAGCCGCTAGCAGGCCCAGGGTGAGGCTGAGTCTCTGTACCTATCAAACACCTGAGACAATCCAGACTCTGGCCTGAACCCGCCAGCTGATGGCAGGCCTTCTAAGGTGTGTTCTAGAACAGTGGTGACCAACCTTTTGGACCTCACGGACCACTCTTTGGCGACTGCTGTTTCCTAAAAAGAGTACCGGGAACTGGCATAGGTTGATGCCAAGATGGGATGTGACTGTGAACATCCCAGGGAGGCTGTCCTAATGGCTGAAGATCCTGGAGCACAGCTGCCCTGAACATCCCTGCTGGTGTCACCGACCTGGCATCATATGTCAAGGACATTCACCAAGTGGCTTTAGGGTGCTCTTGGCCAGGTCCCTCCAGGACACAGAACACAGCTTTACCTAAGACATTACCCCGAAATACCAGTTCAGACTCGTTTCCTCATTCAGCAGCTGCTCAGAGGGCGGGTGTACAGCCGCTTGGCTGAGCAGCGCTCTCCCTGGCTGGTCCCCACAGGCCATGCCCCCCACCAGTGCATGAATCCGTGCACTAGGCCTCTAGTTTACAAATAAAAAACAGGCATAGAGGTTCAATTCTTCAGTCATATAGGTAGTAAGTGATATTCTGTAGTAGTTTATCTTGCCCACTGTTGGGTTGTGGTCCCCCCTTTTTTTCCTTTGCACAATGGCAAACAAGTTGTAGAAAGATTTCTTTGAAATCTTTTGTTTAAAGTTTCATGGAAGATATTCTAGAAGAACTGCATTAAGGCCTCCCAACTACTTTTGGTGTGGAAAGTTGCACTTAATATAGTTTGTTATGGAGGCTCATTTTATTTATTTTTTGTACCTCAAAATATAGATTGTTTGGGAGGCTCATTTTATTTATATTTTTATTGATTTCAGAGAGGAAGGGAAAGAAGCACCAATGATGAGAGGATCATTGATGGGCTGCCTCCTTCATGCACCCTACTGGGGATCGAGGGCCGGAACCTATGCATGTACCCTGACCTCAAGCACTGAGCCACACCTGCAGGGTTGGAGGATCATTTTAGCTTGAAATTATGCACTTTACTTCAAAGACCTCAGTTCTCATGTTAGTGATGCAAATTCACTGCAAATTACCTTTTCTTCACCCTTTGCTCCAAACAATTTGAGTTTGGTATAGAGTTCTTCAGGATTAAGGGACAGCATATAGGAGCTCCTTTCTGTGAAACCCATAGTAAGGATGAATAGGCACTTGAAACTAGCAGCCCAACTTGTGTTGGTCTATATCTTTTGTCATTTTTCTCTTTTCTTTTAAAAAAGAATATGGTCTCATTCAATGATGAGAGAATCCTTGATGAGAAGGCTGCCTCCTGCATGCCCTCTACTGGGGTTCAAGCCGGCAACCTGCCAATCTGCCCTGACCCGGAATTGACCATAACCTGGTTTGTAGATCAACACTCAACCACTGAGCCACGCCAGGGGGGCTAGACTTGATTATCTAGTCCTCCTTTCCTTGCCTCTTATCTAAGATTTTGTGGATATGTACTTCTGAAAGTTTGCTAAACAAAAACAGTATGGTCTTCCCAATCCCACCCAGTAAAAATTTGTAATACTGAAAAGGACATTTCAAAGTACAGCTGCTGGAGAATTTTACTCTTCCCTTTTGAGATTCAGTGATCTAATGAAGAGATGACGTGTGAATCCTATAATACTTAAGAGTATGCAAAAGTATGAATGAACAATAGGACCAGCTCTCCCAGGAAGAATTTGAAAGAGGAGCTTGTTTATCAGAATGAATGTCTAATTGGTACAATGTATATGAGGGAGTATTTTTGAGTATGGACTCTGGATGTTCATTTACTGTTTCAAGGGTCTTGCTTCCCCCAAATAGTTGGACAAAAATAATGAGAGTCAAAAACATACATTTGCGTTCATGTATTTAATTATCACACTAGGCCTGTGAGATAAGCAGAGGTACTGCAAATCTAAGGTTAAGTGATCTTCTTACCTAAGGTGACAAAGCCTAAAAGAGTGAAACTCAAGTCAATTGATTAAGTCTAGGCTCCCAGTTACTATACAGGAAGTTTACAGTAGCAAAACCTCCATTATTCAAGATCAACTTTAGATAGCCAGTAACCACGAGGTGCAAACACATAGAACTCAAGTTCTGCAACTATTTGGTCCATTTTATTATTTGTAGGTAGCTCTGTTTTGAAATTAAATCTTTTTCAACTTTAAAGAATATTGTGACGGGATATTGGTAGATAACTAAGCTTGGGAGCTGAAGAAATGATAGTTGCAAGGAGGTAGTATTGATGTATGGTATGTACATGGTGAATGGTGGACACTCAGGACCTGCAGATAATCTAGCTGGGAAGAATGAGAAAATCTAGCTGGGAAGAATGAGAAAATCAGAGCTCTGCAGAGAGAGGGGGAAGGCAGATAAACTGCAACACTGCTTCTGTGGACTCCAAGAACAGCACTGTGTCATACAGTTAAGGATAGCTCTAAGGAGATGTATATATGTAGGACATCTGAAGTTCATTATACAGGTAAAAGAAAAATTTCAAGTTAAAGATGAAAGGTGGGGCTGACTATAAAGAACTCAAGAGAATGATTAGTTCTTCTCAGGCCTTAGGCATCAGTTCCTCTCAGGCCTTAGGTATCTACTGATACCACCAATTACCTTTTTAAAAATATTTTTATTGATATCAGAGAAAAAGGGAGAGGGGGGGAGAGAGAGAAACATCAATAATGAGAGAGAATCATTGATCTGCTGCCTCCTTCATGCCCCTCACTGGGGATTGAGCCCACAACCCTGGCGTGTGCCCTTGGCTGGAATAGAACCTGGGAGCCTTCAGTCCTCAGGCTGACACTATCCACTGAGCCAAACCAGCCAGGGCTAAAACAAGATTTTTAAAGAAGGAAGTCATTTCACTTTATTTTCACTCTCTTTGTTTCAGTTCATCCTTACAACTACTCTAAGAGGAAAGTTGGGCAGGTCTCATTAACCCTATTTTACATATGAAGATGTTGAGTTATTGAGAAGTTCAATCACTTAGGTCATATTTAGCAAGTACTCAAGCTGGAATCAAAACCCGTGTTTTCTTACATCTAACCCAGTGCCCTTTTCACTACTCCGTAGTATATCAGACAGTTGGTATTGAGTAAGGCTCTAAAGCAATGCCCAGGATATGGGTCATTTGTGAGTCATGCAGGCAGAAAGCGTCCAAAATAGCATATTAGAAATAAATATGAAGTTTGGTTATATATGTCAATAACTTCAGGAAGATTTTTAGTTGCCAGCCACCAGTATAGGAATTTAAAGAAATAAGCAGATATAAGCAAAAACTAAAAAAAAAAAAAAAAAAAAAAATACAATGTTATTTAGAAGAGTGAAGAAATTGGGTACAACATGTTCAGTAATAGGAGAAATGTTAATTTTGGTACATGGTGAATGATGTATGTTATTTTTTAAAAATAGGTGTTTGAAAAAAGTAGATGGCACAGGAAAATGCTTATGAATTTGTGTTAAGGAAAAGATATATGAAAAAATATTTGATCTTGGGTCCCTGCTTGTAAAAGATATGTCAGATAATATACCAACATTTTAACAGTATCTAAATCTGGTTTGTGAAATTGGAACTAATTATTTTACCTTCTTAAAAAAATGCTTTTAAATTTTTGTATATAGTCAGAAAAACATATTTCATAATTTAAAAGATTATGAAAAAGTTTTTGTAGAAAATATTTGTCAATATTGCCAGTGACAAATTTTTGGTGTGTCAAAATATAGAAATTAAAATAAAATCTTTAAACTACAAGTTCTTTTAGTCTTTTTGAATTTAACTAGGGAAAGTGTGTTAATTTTATTTTACACTTGAAGATACAAGTTTATAAAGATTTTGTTGGTCTCAATATTGGTGTCTGAAATACTTGATATAAAAACTGCTTTTATTCTTTGGAAGAAAGGACTTCTATACATTTAATACATTATTAATACTTGGGGATTTGGGTATAATTTAGTGCTAACTATATGGATGTCTGGTAAGATGTCATGGAGTCATGTTGGTCTAAAGGATTTGATAGTGATACAAATAGCAAAGTATAGATTAAAGATACAACATGTGATGTCTCTGATTTTCTATTTATGTAATTTCCATATCACATGATTTGACACTTTTTCCTTGCATTATTTTTATTTTGAAGTCGGAGCACCATAACATGGTGTGGGAAGTGAAGACAAATCAGATGCCTAATGCAGTACAGAAACTCCTGTTGGTAATGGATAAGAGAGCTTCAGGAATGAATGACTCATTGGAGTTGCTGCAGTGTAAAGAAAACTTGCCATCCTCACCCGGCTATAACTCCTGTGATGAGCACATGGAGCTTGGTAAACAAAATTAAAAAGTTTTTAGGGGTATCACTGAAATTTAGATTAATTTTCATGTTTTAACCTACCTGGAACTGATAAAAAGTATGTGAAATTTTGTACATTAGTTTTCAATGTTTTCTTGTTACTGAAAGAGTGACCTACCTAAGTCACTCCTAAGTCATTTTTAAGTAATATTGCTTAAAATATTACTTAAAATGAACATAAATTTGAGCTATTTGTGGATATTATAGAGACTACCCTACCTTGCTATGTGGGTGAAGATTGGGCTATTAGACATCTTAGGAAAACTCTGCTCTGTGGCTTTTCTAAAGGTATTTTAAAACATCCCCATGAGTTCAGTAAATTATGCTTGGCCACTCTTCAAGGCTGGATTATTAGTATGACAGGGACATTACAGAGGATCCTAAAAGCTTGTGGGTCTGACATTTGTGGTTATCAGTATGCTGAGCTATTGAAAGGTATGTGACCTGTAGAAATGTGTAGGTTTGTTGAGGAATGATTTTGAATTATATTGTTTTGAAGTGTTGAAGAGTAAACAGCTAATGAGTAATTTTGGCTTGCTGCCCAGCTTTTCAGCTTGGCTTTGTCCCCACTTAATATGTAGTTTTCCTTAATATTCACAAAAACCTCAAGAAGACGTGATTATTCTCATTATATAAAAGATGAAATAGGAGATTATATGCTGGAATGCTGTGTGAGAATTTCAAGATTCTGAAGGTCTTGGGACATAACCAGTTTAGATACCAAGAACTTGCTAATATTATTTGAGTAGTGGCTACTGTTGAGCGAAGACTATTATAATCAGGTAATTGAATTCTCCACTATCAATTTTTATTTATTATTTAAAGATTTAAAATTTATTTTTAGAGAGAGAGAAAGAAAGAGGGAGAGACAGAAAAATCGATATGAAAGGAAATATGCTGTCTCCTGCGTACCCCTTACTGGGATCGAGCCTGCAACCTGGGCATGTGCCCTGACCAGGAATAATACCTGTAACACTTCAGTGTGTGGACTGATGCTCTAACCACTGAGAACATTGTCCAGGGCAGAAAGTAACTCTTATATAAGAAGTAATGGTCAAAGAAGGATGTTGGCAATGAGGGAAGGGAAGTGGCTATACCAGAATGAGAATTATAGGATGGGGTTATTTCACATTGATAGGATATTTTGGCTGCTTTTAAATAAGTTATTTCCATTTTAGTAGACTATCTGGGTACTTGCCTTTATAGGAGCTATGTATAGAAACATTTTTAGTGACAGTTTAGGAAAACTTCCAAAACTAAAAGTTTCATAACATATTGAAGGGAACCAATAGATCTATGTAGTGTGTAGGTGTGTATTTAATAGAGACTTTTTAAGGCCTGCACGGTGCTTTTTCTCCATATAATACATTTTTTACTGAATATTTTAGAATTGCATTTTTTAGAATTTCTTATAATACTCATAGCCTTGGTGTGTACGTGAATATTTCTTAGGTAGTATTTCTAGTCTTCTTTCTTAGGGAGTGAAAATATCATGAAATACCTTTGGGGAACACAGTTACAGGAAAAATAACCAATAAATATTACTGAGTTCAGAATTTCTCAGTAAAAAAATAATTTGGCCTATATAAAAATAAGTAGGTAGTACCTAAAATTTTATATGATTTTTGTCTTTAAAATTATTTTCACTATTGCAATAATCTTGTATAACAGGTTAATAAAAATATGTGAACAGTAAGTACACACACACACACACAAAATGCCTTTTTCCTCAATGTGTTCATATAAAAATGTCTCAATAGAATATAGATTACTCCTCAGTGAAGTATAAAAAATTGAGGGGGGAAATCAGGATTTCCGCATAAACCTTATTTTTTCAAGTCTATAAACAGTTGTAATTACATGGTTTAGGTAATGAAGTTATTAGTACATTGACAATCATTGGATTCACTTTTCTATTAAGCTCTATTGACCCTTAATGTATTTGGTGTCATTTTAAAAAATAGAAACTTCTTTTATTAAAAAAACCCCCACACATTTTGAACTTATACTTTCCCTTACAGAATTAATAAGTTAAATTGAGGACTTCTCTTCCAACTGTAACTATAGTATTACCCAGTATTAGTAATTTCCTTTTTATAATTTTGAGTGTGTGTTTGCAGATGACCTTCCTGAACTTCAGGCTGTTCAAAGTGATCCTACCCAATCTGCCATATACCAGCTAAATTCAGATGTTTCACATCAAGAATATCCAAGACCATCTTGGAACCAAAATACCTCAGACATATCAGAAAGTACTTATCGTGAAAATGAGGTGGATTGGCTAACAGAATTAGCAAATATTGCCACCAGTCCACAAAGTCCACTTATGCAGTGCTCATTTTACAACAGGTAAGAATGTTGTATTTGTATTGAAAAACCTCTATCATTGTAAATGTGGCTATTATTTTTTTCTAGTTTTAAAAGTAATGCTAGTAATCATTTAATGAATGGTTTGCTTAAATTAGGATGTAAGTAAAGTCATTAGAATTAAGCTTCTTGTCTTACAAAGATCAAAGAGCTATTTTACTCAATACTAAGATTTTTACATTCTGAGAATTAGATAAAAGTGATATGAAAACAGCAGAGTGAAGAATATTTGCAAGTGTTTTAAAATCACCAAAAAATAAATCAGACCAAGAAATACTTTTATTATGCTATATTTCTACTTATTGGAATGAAAATTGTAGTTGTCCAAAGAACCATAATTAGAGTGAACACTAGAGGCCCAGTGCATGAATTTGTGCACGGGTGGGGTCCAGCTGGCCCACCCTGATAAGGGCTAATCAGGCCAGGGCCAGCTAGGGGGAGTAGCTTCCAGCAGTTGGCCAGCCAGCCCTGCCTCCTGGTTGAACTCCCAGTCAAGGGGACAATTTGCATATTGGCTTTTATTATGTAGGATTATATTTTAAAGCTTTTTAACCTTGAGTTCAATTCCTTTTTTGTTGGTTTATTTTCTTCCAGGGTATGTGGCCTTATGTGATTTACCTTTTTCTAATAATAAAACTAGCTAGTCTTAAAATCTTCAACTTATCAAAGTGGGCTCCCAGTTGGTGAAAACCACTGTTTCATATACCCAGAGCAGGATTTAAGAAAATGAGTTGTGCCAAAACTGGTTTGGCTCAGTGGATAGAGCATCGGCCTGCGGACTGAAAGGTCCCAGGTTCGATTCCGGTCAAGCGCATGTACATTGGTTGCGGGCACATCCCCAGTAGGGGGTGTGCAAGAGGCAGCTGGTCGATGTTTCTCTCTCATCGATATTTCTAGCCCTCTATTCCTCTTCCTTCCTCTCTGTAAAAAAATCAATAAAATATATTAAAAGAAAAAGAAAGAAAATGAGTTGTGCTATGAAATTATGAAAGCTTTCAAGCAATATTCCTAGAGAGGCCTAAGTGAATAATATTTTATCCCTAAAATCGTAAAATTATCTATGTAAGATAGATTATAGAGGGGAGAATTGTCCAAATTTGCACTCATATTAGGTAATGTTGAAATAACATTACCTAATTCAATTTTGGTAAGTGCTCTTAAGTTAGTATAATTATTGCTAAAGAACAAACTACAACCCATTAAATTATGCTGCTTTTCTTCTATATCAGGATGTTAGTCTTTTTTTTAATTTTTATTGATTTTTTACAGAGAGGAAGGGAGAGAGATAGAGAGCCAGAAACATCAATGAGAGAGAAACATACACCAGCCGCCTCGTGCACACTCCCCAAGGAGTATGTGTCCGCAACCAGCGTACATGCCCCTGACGGGAATTGAACCCTGGACCTTTCAGTCCGCAGACGGACGCTCTACCACTGAGCCAAACGGGTTTCAGCAGGATGTTAGTCTTGATTAGAGTAAATTCATTTTACCTTTGGTTTAACTCCATGAAAATTTCCATTAGAAAGAAAACTTGCCTTTTAGAGTATTACTTCTTTTATAGTCTCAGTTTACATTATAATCTTAATAGTCAAAAAGCAAAAAATTATTTTACATTTTAAAAACAAGCCCTGATTTTACCACTAGAGTTTCTTTTCCCTCTATTTCTTGTTTAAAGCTAATAGTTTTCATTTTTTGCCATAAATTCATGAAGATTAATAATAGTTCATGCAAAGTTGAGTAAATCTTTCAGAAGAAAAAATCAATATAAATAAAAGCATAAGTAAAGGAGTATCTCCCTGAAGATATATTTTTTCTCTGAGGGAACACATGGCCTCCGCCCCTCTCCCCCCACTGTTCATGAATTTGAATTTCATGCACAGCCGGGGTGGGAGGCGGGGGTTGTCCCTCAGCCTGGCCTGCACCCTCTTCAATCTGGGATCCCTCTCGCACTCCAGGACCACTGGCTCCTAACTACTCACCTGCCTGCCTGCCTGATTGCCCCTAACTGCCTCTGCCTCCCTGCTTGCCTGCTTGATGCTCATAACTGCTCTCCCCTGCCCACCTGATCACCCCTAACCACTCTCCCTTGTTGGCCTGATTGCCCCTAGCTGCTTCTGCCTTGGCCCCCGCCACTGTTGCTTTGCCCTGAAGGATGTCTGGAAGACGTCTGGTCTAGCCTGTATAATTCAGCATATTATCCTTTTATTAGTATAGATAATTTCAGCAAAGGTTAATGAGGATAAAGTTAAAATGGAGGGTTAATAACATTTCTCAGGGAAAGGGACAAATTGGAAACTAAGATGTCCCTTCGCCCCTTTGTGAAAAGGGGGTTAATACAGACATGCATTAACTTTTTTCTGTTAAGGACCAAATCTCTATTTGGCATCTTAGAGAATTGTTCTGATTTGGGAGTTTCAGATAGATCTGCCCCCTTGTCTTCCTCTCTAATGCTTTCCAAACTCCTGTGTTGGTATGTACATATTACTGGTCATCCTTTATGGGTTTGTTTCTTACTGTTATCCTTCCTGTAATAGCTGATCTGTTTGTGAGGAAAGGATTTTAATGTGTTCTTGTGAGCGCCAGTACTTTAAAAGGAGCAGTGCCTGTTAAAGAGACTATTGAGGGGAAAACTGGGGAAGGAGTTGTTTTTTATAACCTGGTTCTGTGGGAAAATATTATCCCTTATATGTAGATGCTCTTTAACAAATTTGTATTAGAAAAAAGAAATAATGTCCAGTTACAAGAAGTTGCAAATAAGCTGCTTTCTGCTACAGGAAGTTTAAGCATTTAGGGTAAGGTGGTTCATTGTATCTGCCCAGTGATAGGTAATTGGTAAAGAGTTCAGTGTTAAGCATAGATTCACTCACTTTAAGACTTACTGACAACATCAAAGTAGAAGAAAGAAATGGATAAGGCGCTTTGCACAGGGGTTATTATTCATGAATGAAAATGTTCACATTTATATGTACTTGATACAAAAACAAATGAAACAGCAATTTGGAACTTAAAATACATTGTCAAATATGAAAAAATAAAACCTGTTTAAAATTTGTGAAGAGGGCTTGGGTAAGCAACTTAAAGGACAATCTACACTAATAAAAGAGAAAGATGCAAATTGACTGTACCTCTGTGACACCCACCAGCCAATTAGGAGTGAGTATGCAAATTAACCCAACAAAGATGGCGGGTTAATTTGCATACACAGGTATGGAGCAAAGACCGAGGGCTCCACTGTGGCCTGGGTCCTGAGTGCCAGAGGAAAACTGGTGCCGGCAGCCAGGGGAAGGAAGGCCTATTGCACAAATCTTTGTGCAGTGGCCTCTAGTATATAATACTATAAATGTAATCTTGTTGTCTTTACTAGTGTTTTGTGTATATACTAATTAATGTTGGCATTTTGAATATAAAATTTTTTCATCAAAAGGAAAGATTGACTTTAAGGACCTATCCTTTATGGTTAAAACTGCTGCTTTATTTTAGATCATCTCCTGTACACATCATAGCTACTAGCAAAAGTTTACATTCCTATGCACGCCCTCCACCAGTGTCCTCCTCTTCGAAGAGTGAGCCAGCCTTCCCTCACCACTGGAAGGAGGAAACACCTGTCAGACATGAAAGGGTGAGTTTATTCATGAGATTAAACTTTCACAAAGTTTGCTCAACAGTTATAATATATTAACTTTCCCTCTAAAAAAGTCTTTTGAAGCACATACAGATGGAAAAATAGCATGTCTGATCTAGTGATCTAGGTTTGATTTTATGTACAGCTGTGTTGATTGGTAGGAAAGTTTGTTACAAGTGGGGAATATATATTTAACTAAAACTTTCAAAAACTTTAGTTTTCAAAGGTATTTTTTTGCCCCAAGCTTAGAATGATTAAGTTATCCCGTATTTAGGAGAGAATCTGAACTCTTGAGCTGGAGACAGATGGTAATAAGATACATTTAAAAATAAACAGTTTATAATGTTTTTTTTCACAGGCAAATAGTGAGTCAGAATCTGGCATTTTCTGCATGTCCTCCCTCTCAGATGATGATGATTTGGGATGGTGCAATTCCTGGCCTTCAACTGCTTGGCACTGTTTTTTGAAAGGTGAAAAAAAAGTACTTGAATTTCTTTACAGCTTACTTGTGCAGCACACTATCACATAACTAATAGTTGTTTTTACTTAAACTTTAGGCACACGACTATGCTTTCATAAGGGAAGCAATAAGGAGTGGCAGGATGTTGAAGATTTTGCTAGAGCTGAAGGCTGTGATAATGAGGAAGATCTCCAAATGGGCACTCACAAGGTTGATTTAAAATTTCTAAAAAAAAAAAAAAAAATTTAAATGAAACATGTTTATTGTTGTTCTGCAGGCGTATCCTCAGTCTACTTTCATATTTAAATAATCTTAAATTGTAGGTAATGGTTTTGTGTTGTTGTTGTCGCTTAGCCTGATAGAGAGGCTTTCGGTTTACCTTTGTAATTGTTTTCTGAGATGGGAAAAACCAAACTGGCATTAAAAATAAATGAGCCCTGCCCAGCTGGCGTGGCTCAGTGGTTGAGCTTCAACCTTTGATCCAGGAGGTCATGGTTCAATTCCCAGTCAGGGCACTTGTCTGGGTTGTGGACTCAATTTCCTGCCTCATGCATAACCCAGTGTGGGTTATGCATGAGGCAGCCGATCAATGATTCTCATCATTGATGTTTCTGTCTCTCACTCCCGCTCCCTTCTCTGAAATAAAAACAGTATATATTAAAAACAAACAAATAAATGAGCCCTGGCCAGTGTGGCTCCGTCAGTTGGAGTGTGGTTTAGTATACTGAAAGGTTGCAGGTTCAGTTCCCAGTCGGGGCATTATGGAAGGCAATCCAGTCAATCAATGTTGTCTCTCACATCTATGTTTCCTGACTCCCTTCCTCTAAAATCAATCAATATATCCTTTGGTAAGGATTAAAAATAAATGAATAAACAAACAAAAACCTTATCTTTGGTAATCTTACAAGGTGGTTAATTCTCCTATGGGTAATTAAAAGTTGATTATTGTTACTTTTAGATGGGGAAGGCTGGCTCCCAATTGTGCCGCCCCCCATTCTCACTGGCCTGATGGCCCCCAGCTCCCCGCCCCTGCTGGCCCAATCGCCCCGCCCCACCACAGTGGCTTTGTCTGGAAGGAAGTTGGATGACCGGAAGATGTCTAGTCACCTGGTCTCATTAGCATATTACCCTTTTATGAGTGTAGATGGTGTTCAGTAATGGTCAAAAATCAACCTTTTTTTTAATTTTTATTTTTTATGTAGATATTCGGATGTCCCAGCATAGAAAAGACATTTTTTCCTCAAAATTTTTTGTCATCTAGTTGAAATTAAAAAAAACATTGGCATTTTCTAAGGTGATAAGCAAAACAATAGGATTAATATTTGTTGACACCTTTGTCTTTGAAACCTTTAATTTCTTCTCTATTGTAGGTAGACAAATTGGGCATGTGAATGAAGTGCTTCTTTAAAATTCCTGTTAGTTATCCCCTGATGATGAGTTTCTTAGAAAATTAGTCCCCACGTGCCTGCCTTCAGTTCTCCCCTCTTCATTGTAGTGGTTTGTCATAGTCTGACTTTGGCCTATATCACTCTCCTACAGTTTCAAAGGTTATTAGCTTGATTTGATTACTATAGAGGCTTCTACTTGTTCTGTTTGATATCTCTTCAACATCTGACAGAATGGATGAGTTCCTAACATTGTTTTGATTTGTGTAGCCTGGCAGTGCCCTGATTTTTGAGTGGTGGTTTATCTGCCATAATGGTGAATGTAAGCAAGTTTCTGTTCCCTTTCACTCTCTGATTCAATGCTTTGCTGAAAATGTCAGCGTCGCCTCCTTGTGGCCTGTGGAAAGCACAGTGGACTTGGAGTAGGAAACCTGGGCTCCCATTCCAGCTCTTCCAGTAACTATTTTTGTGAGTGATCTGGGGCAAATAATTAACCCTAGTAGACACTGGCTTCCTGATCTGTAAAATGGGACTGGATTCGTTTTAAAGTTTTGTAGCCCCCAAAATTAGAAGATTCTGTAATTAAGTTTTTTGCAAATACATGTCTGTAGCCTTTACCTGTATGTTTCCAACTGCGTGTTAGAACTATTTGTACATGAATATCAGTTATTCAAACTTGACTTATTAGTATCATCAAATCTGTATTCACCTTTTTAAATTCCCTTTCCTGGCAACTCTGTTCTTTTAAAGGTATTGTTATCCCTGATTACAGATTCAAAACCAGGATGTTGGCTATTCCCTTTCCTCCCTTCAGTTCTATTTCCTGAAAGATTTTTACAGTCATCCTTCTCTCCCATTCTTTACTTTGTTTTGTTTTTAAATATGTTTTTATTGAGTTCAGGGAGAGAGGCAGAAACATCAATGATGAGAGAATCATAGATCAGCTGCCTCCTGCACGACCTCACCCCCCTTCTTACCCCCGACTGTGGATTGAGCTTGCACCCCAGGCATGTGCCCTTGACTGGAATCAAACCTGGGACCCTTCAGTCTGTAGGTCCACACACTATCCACTGAGCCAAACCAGCTGGGCGCCATTCTTTACTTTGTTCATGCACTAGATGTAGTAATAATTGGATATTATAGCTAGGTGTTGGCATGTTTTTCTCCGTTTTTCTGTGAATTTAAGAGTAGGGATTGTGTGTTGTTGATTATCTTTTCAGAGTCTAGCATGTGCTAAATGCTTAGTAAATATTTGTTGAATTTAAATTTAGGCTGGTTCTACCACTACTATACTTGTCAATTCAAGACTAATGGGCTGCTCTCATTCTATTTTGAAATAAGTTGAATATTAGAGGTAACTTTTATTATGAAGTCATTTATCATCTTAAAATGAACAATCTTATTAATAAAAATACTTTTATTGACTTCCTAATACCCTCTAAAAGGAAAGTTGGACCATTTTGCCTGTCTCTTAGGCCTTTTACTAACTGGTCTGGCTCCTCTTCAGTTCTTGTCCCCACTGTATTTTTAGAAAATACTAAGCGCTACCCCAAAGCAGTTGTTTATTATAACCATTCCTGGTGTAAGGCATGTTCTTATACATTTCTAAATTTCATTTCTTTTAAATCCCAGTTCAAAGGGGAATCGAAAGCCTCCCTGATCGATCTCTCCCTCCCCCCTCTCCTTCTCTCTCTCTCGGATTTAATTAAATTGTATTAGGATTATTTATACTCGGACTAAAATGTTTATTCCACTCTTATGTTGTAGTGATTTATATATGTGCCTTTGTTCATGACTGGGTCAAAAGCCCCATAAAGACAGGAATACTTTTTATTTTTACCTTTTCTACAAAATCTTCACTGTGTGTTAAATTGAATGTTGCCACTTCATTTAATCTATGCATGTATTTTCAGGGCTATGGTTCCGATGGTCTGAAGTTGTTATCACATGAAGAAAGTGTATCATTTGGCGAATCTGTCCTGAAGTTAACTTTTGATCCTGGTACAGTAGAAGATGGTTTGCTGACTGTAGAGTGTAAGCTGGACCACCCTTTCTATGTTAAAAATAAAGGTACGGCTTCCATTGGAATTTGTAGTAACTTAAAAAAGAAATCTTAAATTTATAATATGTCTTGTGGTGTAATTCTCTGGTGGTTAAGAAAAAGAATTTGAAGGGAAAATTTCAAACTAAATAAAACTATCTTAGGAAATGCCCTCTGATGCTTAAATGTCTTAGTGGTAGTCAGACTGAGCTCTGCTTCCTGTGGCTATCAAAAACTTCAATTTATGTAGCATGAATATCTTGGTATATAGTTTGAGGTAGGGAGTATTTTAGTAATTGCATTTTGGTTTAGGATTACTAAATACGCTGTATACCCAAAACACTTCAGAGCCTTACTGCAATACCACCATGTTACACATAATGCTTCAAGAGTATTTCATGGTCGCACTTATTTTCATTTATGCTGATTGATAGAACCTATTAATAAAATGCTAAATTAAACTATATTTTGGAGGGTTAGTGCATTGCTTCAAGTAAATACTTATAGTTGGCTTTATGGCAAATATAAATTAATTGTATTTGAAAAATCTTAACTTAAACTTTTTTAAGACTCAAATGGTATCTATCTCTTATAATAAATAATTTGGGTGCTTTCTTTCAATCCCCATCTTTGATGCAACTATTGTTTACCTTTAGGTTGGTCATCGTTTTATCCAAGTTTGACTGTGGTACAGCATGGCATTCCATGTTGTGAAATTCATATTGGTGATGTATGTCTACCTCCTGGACACCCCGATGCCATTAATTTTGATGATTCAGGTGTTTTTGATACATTTAAAAGGTAATACTGCACTAATTATCTTTTTTCTGTTAAAAGTTTACCCTAAACCTCCCTAATGATTGCTAAGTCAAATATTTAAGAAGCTTTCAGAATTTAAAAAAAAAAACTTTTAAAAGGACAATTGTACAATTTCCCAGGAGGCATCCAGAGAAAGTTTGTATGTAGATAGATATCTAGGATTTTAAGACTCATTCTTTCTTTAATCTACGTAATTATCAAATCTAGAGGTATTAGGTAGAGAATTCTCAAGAGTTCCTGCCTGCTGTCTTTTAGATTTTATTTCAATTTAACTTAATAATAAAACATAAGGTAAATATATTTGTTTATCAAAAGAATAAGGAAGCCCTAACTTATTTGGCTTCAGTGGATTGAATATTGGCCTGAGGACTGAAAGGTCTTGGGTTTGATTCTGGTCAAGGGCATATGCCCGTGTTTCAGGATCAATCCCTAGTATGGGGTGTACAGGAGGCGGCTCAATGATTCTCTGTCATCATTGCTGTTTCATCAATAAAATATAATTAAAAGGAAAAAAATTAGACTATTTTAAAAAGCAGAGGCCATATGCTCAATAACATCTATAAGATTGGAGTCTAAATGCCATTTGATTACATCCTCATATACACCCTTTGAAAAACTAAAAAATGAGACAGTATTTTAAGGTCTGATACTCTAATTATTTTTATCATGTAGATTAGTGATAACTCTTACGTTTTGGTGAGAGTGTAAATAAAATTTTGGAAGATAATTTGGCTTTGTTTTACAACATCGAATATCAGTGATCCCATTCCTCTGTAGAGGAATAAGCTAGAGAAATAAACTCTTACAGACATGTGCTAGGAGATGTATAAATAAGTTCATAGCTGTATTACTTATGTTAGCAAAACTTGGAAACAATATCACTATTCATTGGTTGGGGAGTAAATATATAAATTGTGTCATAATTGTACAGTGGAATATTAATGAACCTTAGCTATACATTTAAACACCTGGATCAGATTTAGAAATAATATTAAGTAAAAATTAGTCTCAGAAATATACAGTATAATTCTATTTCTTTTTTTATGGAATCAGATGTTCTTCGAAAATATATATAGCCCTGAACAGTTTTCTCAGTGGTTAGAGCATCTCTGCCCTCAAACTGAGGGGTCACAGGCTCGATTTTGATCATGGGCATGTTACCCCAGCAGACTTGATCTCTAGCCTGGGTCTGGGTGCATGTGAGAGGCAACCAATTGATGTCTCTCTCTCACATGGATGTTTCTCTTTATCTCTTCTCCCTTCCATTCTCTCTAAAAGTCAGTTGGGGGGAAGGGGAGAAGAAAATACTTGCAAAATTTTAAATGTAATTACGTTTATATTATACTAGAGGCCTGGTGCACTGGGGAAGAGGGGGGGTTTCTCGCAGTCCAGCCTGCGCCCTCTTGCAGTCCTTGACCCCTCGGAGGATTTACTCCTGCCGGCTTAGGCCTGCTCCCCACGCAGTCCGGGGACTCTTGGCCTTACTGCTCTCCAGCTGTGAGCCTCGCTTCTGGCTGAGCAGCACTCCCCATATGGAAGTGCACTGACCATCAGGGGACAGCTCCTGCATTGAGTGTCTAGCCCCTGGTGGTCAATCCGCATCATAGTGGCCAGTTGTTCTGGTCATTCTGCCATAACAGTTGCTTAGGCTTTTATTATATAGACTAGAGGTCCAGTGCATGAAATTCGTGTATTCGGGGGGGGGGGGGTCCCCTCAGCCCGACCTGTGCCCTCTCACCCTTGGGTAGTGTGACTAAGCCGGCAGAGAGACATCCTTAGCACTGCCATGGAGGGAGGAGAGGCTTCCTACCACCACCGCTACCCTGGCCAGTGAGCCCAGCTTCTGGTTGAGCACCTGACCCCTGGTGATCAGTGCACGTCATAGCAACCGGCTGTTCCACCATTCGGTCGATCTGCATATTATCTATCCTTTTTACAAAGGAGGATAATATTTATATAGTATATGTAATACATATAAAATTATGCTGGAGGTCTTCAAGACCACCCCCTGGGTTTGATAAGTCACTGGGAATCACAGGATTCAGCATCTAGTCATATGGCTCTGATTTCTTCCAGTGAAAGGATACAAAGCAACATTGGGAAAAATGAAAGGCATGGGGTGAAAAAGCACAAGACATGCGTATTTCTGTCAGCAGTGAGTTGTGGCAAGCATGAAATGTCATCTGCCAGGGAATCTTAATCTTGTTAGACACTCAGCAGGGTTATTTGCGTGTTTGTGTTTGGATTTTTTCCCTTTATTTTAGAGAGAGTGGAAGGGGGAGAGGACAGAAACAGACAGACTTTGATGTGATGAGTGAGAGACATTGATTGGTTGCCTTCCGCCTGTGCCCCAACGCGGCCAGAGTGAACCTTTAACCCAGGTGTGTACCACGACTAGAAACTGAATCTTCAACCCTTCAGAGCATGGGCCAACACTAACCCAGTGGTCAGCAAATTGCGGCTCGCTAGCCACATTTTGCCGCTCTGTTGACTGAGTTTGCCAACCATTGTGTAAGGCATTACCCGTAGCCAGAAGTTTTGATTTCAGGTTAAAGGCATTAGTACACTATTAAAATGTGTTTTTTTAAGTGGTCAGCAAACTTGGTCAACAGAGCGGCAAACTGTGGCTCATGAGCTGCATGTGGCTCCAAGCCTCAGTTTGCCGACCACTGCTCTAACCACTGATCAACACAGTCCTTGGCATCAGGTATTTGTTGTTTTTTCAGAGAGAAAGGTAGAGAGAGAGAGAGAAAAAGAGGAACATCAATCATGAGAGAATCATTGATTGACTGCTTCCTGCATGCTCCACACTGGGCATCAGGCATGTGCCCTTGAATCAAACCCAGGACCCTTCAGTCCACAGGCCAACACTCGATCCACCGAGCCAAACCAGCTACGGCTATTTGGAGTTGATAATGTAGGCCGCCTCAGGTTGGCACATACCACAGTTTCAAACTTCCAAAAGGGAAGCAGGTGTTTGGGGTGAACCGTATTGTTTGTGCGCACAGATACAATGAGCCACTCCTCTCAGTTGTGGGAATGATGGGAACCTTCCAGAAATCCAAGTTAATCAAGGGACAACCTTCTAAGTAAATCTTTGAAAGGATAGCAATTAGGCCTGCTATTTTAAGTCTTTCCGCAAAACAAAATATTATGTATTATTCCCATATATAATATTATCTATTATAATGAAAGTGTAATATGCTAATTAGGAAGTTTTTAAGTGAGAGCATGACTTGAAGAAGCCCTTTCGAGACATTGAGAGTTGAGGCCAGTCTCCTAGGCATCAGGCAGGTTTAAAACAATTATTCTGTGAAGTTGACATTTCTGCTCAAGTAATATGACTAAACAAGCACTATGCATAATTAGCTTATTTAATTTTCACTGCCCTGTTAGATTATATTCTCATTTTACAGAGAGAGAACTAAAGCTGAGAGAGGGGAAAAGAATATTCCCCCCAAATAGCCAGTTGGTATCAGAACCAGGATTCAAGCCAGTAACTTGATTCCAGGTTTAGTATGCAATAATAGGTGCCTTCATTGAATACCAATTAAATTATTAGGATATGTTATAATATAGGGTGGCTTTTCGGGAAGATTGATGTATGACTAAACAAAGATTACTATGCATTTAAAAGTTCTTTTAGCTGCATTTAACTACTGCAGTCTTTAAACATTATATATGCTTTCTACTCTAATTTTATGCTTCTGTAGGCCAAGAAATTAGATTATAAAATTTGTCAAAAAGTGAATTCTAGCCCGGCTGGTGTGCTCAGTGGTTGAACATCTAATCATGAACCAAAAGGTTACCAGTTTGATTCCTGGTCAGGACACATTTATTTTTTTTGTGCTCGATCCCTAGTAGGGGGCCTGCCGGAGGCAGCTCATTGATGTTTCTATCACTCTTATCCCTCTCCCTTCCTCCCTGTATCTCAAAAAAAAGAAATCAATAAAAAAAATACTGTTTTTAAAAAATGAATGTAAACTAAGAATAAATGGGTGTCTGGGATCTGGAAGAGAGACTAGCTGTGAATAAAGTGTGTGGAGTCAGTGTATACGTCAATTTTCATTTTATAAGTAACTACCAATGATGAAGTTGTTAGTGTTGGTGACATAAGGGGAAATACAAAGGTTTTTAAGTTGAAGTAAAACCATTTTTAACATTTTTTTTAGCTATGACTTCACACCTATGGATTCTTCCGCGGTCTATGTGCTAAGTAGCATGGCTCGTCAGCGTCGTGCATCTCTGTCATGTGGAGGACCTGGAGGTCAAGACTTCGCAAGATCTGGATTCAGTAAAAACTGTGGCTCCCCTGGATCATCACAGCTCTCTTCCAGTTCTTTGTATGCTAAAGCTGTCAAAAACCACAGCTCAGGGACTGTGAGTGCCACTTCTCCTAACAAGTGCAAAAGACCAATGAATGCCTTCATGCTTTTTGCCAAAAAATACAGAGTTGAATATACTCAGATGTATCCAGGGAAAGACAACAGGTAAAAATAGTGATTATTCTAATAATTGGGTAACACTTCAATGTAGTTCATAGGAACCAGTGCAGTTTAACTTATTCTTCAGTAGCATTTATTATTGAATTCTTTGTTTTCTTAGGTTGACTTCAAAGTAAAAAGTTTAAGTGGAATTTTTAGGGTTATAATCTTATATAATAAAAGGCTAATATGCAAATTGTCCCCTTGCCTGGGAGTTCAACCAGGAGTTTGAGCAGGGGTTGGGGCCAGCTGGCCAATTGCCAGCGGCCCTCCCCTGGGGCTGGTCTTACCCTCAATTGCCCTCATCCTGATTGGGTGTGGGCTGGTCTGCCAACTGCCTGCAGCCCCTCCCCTTGCCAGCCCAACCGGGGTTGGGTTGTCTGGACCCCACCCGCGCACAAATTCATGCACCAGGACTCTATGGTAGTTATTTTAATATAGCTAGGCATTATAAATTTTACACATAATGCCTAGGTATTGGACACTGAATGGTGAGGACCTGCTTTTTAAAGGAGTAGTAAATACCACTCACTGACAATTCCATCTTTATTGAAAAACTTTGTAGAAAAGACTGGCACTTTCTTGCAACAGATCTTATTATTTAACAATTGTGTCATAGTATGGAATGTTTAGGAATTGGTAATGATTTGTCAAAACTAAACCTAAAAGTATCCTCAGGAGAGCTCTGGAATAAAAATTAACTCTTGTCCTTTCTATTCTGTTTGCTATACACTTACCTCATCTCTTAGAATCCTCTCCAGCTCACTCACTCCCTCTCAAACCATCCCAAGTTCTGCGTGGGTGAAAATATCTTCTTCCATCTTCCTGGTTTCCTGACAAACAAAAACTATCATTTCCTTTACCCATTATATCATAAGAAGTCAAATGGTTATCCACATAAAATTAATCAGGGTTGAACGTTTCATAAACTAGAAGCCTGGTGCATGACATCTGTGCACTCGGGGAGGTGGGGGTGTCTCTCAGACCTACCTGTATCCTCTTGCAGCGCAGGACCCCTCCAGGGATGTCCGCTGAGGGGTCCTTAGCACCGCTGCGGAGGTGGGAGAGGTTCCTGCTGCTGTGCTCCACAGCCATGAGCCCTGCTTCTAGCTCAGTGGTGGTGCTCCTGTGGGAGTGCACTGACCACCAGGGGGCAGCTCCTGCATTGAGCGTCTGCCCCCTGGTGGTCAGTGTGCATCATAGTGACCTGTTATTCTGCCTTTCGGTCTATTTGCATATTAGCCTTTTATTATATGGGATTTGAGATGTAATTGATAACTATATAAAAGCCCAGCAACTGGAACAGTATATGAGCAAGCTGTGGCTATGACGCGCACTGTGGCAGCCAACTAGCCCGATCACCCATATGAGCTCCCAACACCCCAATTAGAGACAGGACTTGCCGGCCAACCACCTGCAGCGCTCTGCTCCCCCCCTCCCCCCCCCCCCCGGCCCACGTGCACCTGGCCTCTAATAGCATATTAGTTTGAGGTGTATAAATGATTCAATCTATATATATAAAGCCAGAGACCAATGGCCATAAGGACCATAATGACTGACTGCTATGATGTTCACTGCGGCCAGCAAACCAGCCCGATCGGGTTGGGCCCGGCTGGCCAACCTCAAGACCACTCCCACCTTCCAGCCTTCCCGATTAGAATCTCCCAATCAAGAGCCAGTCACTGGCTAAGCGCACCGTCCCTTCGCCCCCACTAACCCTGCCCCTGATCTGCCTGCTCCACCACGATAGGCCCACAGCCCCTCCTACCCCTTATGGCCACTCCCCACCCCAATAGGGGTGGGACTGGGCAGCCAACCTCCTGAGATCAGTCCCCCAACCTCATCAGGGGCAGGGCCAGGTGGCCAACAGCCCATGGGTCCTCTCCCAGGCCTCGAGCCCCGGAATGACACTCTTCACCCCTATTTGGGGTGGGGCCAGCTGACCCACTACCCACAGCCCTTCCCCATATCCAGCCATGCCTCCAATTGACCCCCCCAACCCCAATTGGAGGCAGGGCCCACTGGCCAGTCACCTGCGGCCCCTTCCCCCAGCTGGCCCAGCCCTGATCAGCCCCAAATGGGGCAGGCCAACCTTATGCAATCTCCTTCTCCCAACAGGCCCAGCCCATACTCACCTGGACCCCACCTTTGCACAAATTTGTGCACTGGACCTCATATATATATATATATATAGACACACACACATATATACATACACACACACACACACACACACACACACACACACACGCCTAAGCAACTTCCAACCAATTGCTATGATGCGCACTGACCACTACGTGGCAAGTGTTCGATGCAGGAACTGCCCCTGGTGTTCAGTGCACTCTCACAGCCAATCTCCTGTGGTACCTCCCCCCACACACGATTTCATGCACCAGGCCTCTAATATTTGTAAATATTGCAAAATGATCACCATAATACATCTAGTTAACATCCATCACCACACTCTCTTAGCAACTTTCAAATAAGCAATACAGTACAATAAGTCACTCTGTTGTATATTGCATCCCCAGGACTTTATGGAAATTTGTACCCTTGGACCATCTTTACCTATTTTGTCCCTGAATTTAATAACCACCAATCTGTTTTCATGAACTGATTTTAAAAGTTAAAATGCATTTCTGATCTAAGAACTAACACATATTTGAATATTTATTGGTTTAATTGTTAAATTTACCAACCATTATATGGTACCTTTAACCTAGAGACTACAAAAACTGGCTTTTATTTTAATAAAGGGGGATGCAGCAGTGTGTTTAGATTAAAGTTTTTTTTTACACATTTTTTTTTAGTTGCGTTTCTATAGTTACTGTTTCTTTAAAGCTCAGATGTGGATCTCTAGCTTCCCTGTCAATTAAAGTAAAAATCATTGTATATACTTCATGCAGTCATTCCAGGACTTTTTTTTTTCTCTGAGTGTCATGAAATTAATAGTTAAAAGCTCTTCATAGAAGGAAAATGGTTTATGTCTACTGAATGAGACTATTTTAGTAGGATTATTGGGAGATTAACAAATACAGATTCTAGCTTTAAATTTCTATCATAATGTCTTACCAGTTTGACTTCTTTCTCCTTGGAATTTATCCAGTTTTCTCAAGTGACTGCCTAAGGTTTATTTGGTCTTGTTTAAGAAGGTAAACAGTAATGTGTACATAGCTACTGCTACATTTTCATTGTGGTCGTATGAATGAAGACTTGTTTTAATCATCATCATTTGACAGGTTATAGGCAAAGTAAGAATAGCTTTTAATACAAGATGAATAATTTATGCTGCTGATACTGAGTACTGTCTGCCTTGATATCCTAAACATCTTTTAAAAACCAGTGTAGCCGGGACCGGTTTGACTCAATGGATAGAGCGTCGGCTTGGGGACTGAAGGGTCCCGGGTTCGATTTCGGTCAGGGGCATGTACCTTGGTTGTGGGCATATCCCCAGTGGGGGTGTGCAAGAGGCAGCTGATCGATGACTCTCTCATCAATGTTTCTAGCTCTCTGTCTCCCTTCCTCTCTGTATAAAATCAATAAAATATATTTAAAAAACAAAAAAACACACCAGTGTACCAGGAAAGATCCAACAGTAATTTAAAACATTTCTATGAAATATTTAACTTTTTTCTTTAAATCTGAGTTTGGTAGAACATCCATTTTTTTAAGCCATTTTATATGTCCTTTGACAATTGGGAATGTTGGCACTATTCCAGGAGACTTTAACTGCCAAGATTATGATGAATGGACCATATGACTTGAGATTTTACTGGAAATGACTACTATAGTTTTGACTTTTCCCTTCTCTGTGTTGGATGATTTTTGTCTTTTTTTCTTTATATTTCTTCCTGAAGTAGCAGCACTTGAGTTTTGTGAAAAATTCTTATCTTCAGGATATGTAAATATTTATTTTTACAGAGCCATAAGTGTGATCCTTGGTGACAGGTGGAAGAAAATGAAGAATGAAGAGAGAAGGATGTATACATTAGAAGCAAAGGCTTTGGCTGAAGAACAAAAACGTTTAAATCCTGACTGTTGGAAAAGGAAAAGAACCAATTCAGTATGTTTCAACAAGTAGTTGCTTGACTCTTCCCCCAGAATTGTTCTGACATATTGGAGCAGTTATAACCTCTAAAAGGTGTTGGTGCTGTTTCTCAGCCTTTTTGTACTTCAAATACTAGTAATATTTTTTGCCTTTTCATCATTCAGTGCCATTTACTCTTTGAGCATGGAAGGTAGAAATGTCAGACATGCTTAAGAAGAATGCTTGTCCGAAACTGTTGAGGTGTAAAAATAATTTTGGAATGTAGTAGTTATTACTAGTTGGGCTGAAAAATGGGTCTTAACTCAATGTCATTAGTAGGATTTTTTTCTAAGTTGGAGTTGGTATGTCTCAACAGCTTTTTGTTTTTCTTAATTGGGAGTGATAGAGGTGTTGGAGGTGTAGGGTACATTACCCAAGCTTCATGGGACTTATGACATTTGTATATAATTTCTAGATTAAAAACTACCGGAAAGAAAAAATAATAAACCCTAGAAAGAGTGGTAAAAAGTTTGCATTATAATAATGCTACCTTAATAGAACTGATTCTTAGAACTTTTCCATTACTAGACAGGCATCTCTTAAGTGTTTTTAGATTAATTACAAGAAAATGTAACATGATAGAACAGAACCAGTTCACTTTGAAACACCTAAAAACGAAGGGAAGACATCGGGAGGGCTATGTTTATGTCTGTTTCTTTACAGTAGCTTGTATTTCACATCTGTTTAAAGTTTTCAAGAATTTATCTTAAGGAAGTAGTGATCAGATTCCAATATTAAAGGGTAGCTTTTTGAAGTTATCCCTTTTTTTGCACATCCTAGTTAATTTTTCTCTTCATTTTCATAAATTTTCTGATGCTTGAGCAATCAGATATTAATGAACTTACTTAAAATGCCCACCTCTAAGAAAATGATTTTTTAAAAATAAATTTATAAACATCTTAGCTTTCATTTGTAGAATTACTGATTTGTAAACATTCATTGAATTTTCATTTTATCTCCACAGGGCTCACAGCAACATTAAACCAGGATGCTTATATTAAATCTGCATTTGCATAAACATAGACTGTTGATGGGAAGACTTAAGAGGACGTGGTTTCACCATTTGTCCGGAATTCGTGTGACCATAAGATACTGATAGCATTGGTCTTGAAATGATTTAATAATAAGAGTGAGGATTTGCTTTCTCCATTAGAGCATTAAGTAAGCTAAAACTATCAACAATGTAAACCAAATTGCCTTATTTTCCTTCCAAATTTCACATGTCTATCAGGTAATATAGGCTTGAAAATTTAAATCCTGTGGTGCTAAAGTACAGTAGAAAGAGGAGAAGTGTATACATGTTTTATTTTAAATTGTACAAAAGGGGAATTTAAAAATATGTAACTGCTGTTAATACATTGGCTCCTTACTGCTTATTAATCTGTATTGTACACATTATGGAATGAAACAGAAGCTGGGAGTTGGTCTTTCTGAGCAACCACCACATGGCTCAGCATCTGTGCCAAACACAGGAGCTCCTAGTCTGGCCAGTGCCAAGAGGCTAGCAGAACATGTGGCTGGCTGGCAGGCAAGCGGGCAGGCGGGCGGCTGGTGTCAGCCTCCCAGCAGAAGGGGCCACCTGCTGCAGTTGCCTGAGCATGCCGAGTGTATGCACCAGGTGGCAGCACCCATCCATTATTCCCAGTGGAGACCTAGCCCAGGCCAAGGTGAAGTTAATAGCATTGAGATATAGTCACTGTAATGGTGCTATTAACAGTTGATACCATTGTATTTTTAAACTTTGTGTTCTATATCTCCTCAGCTACATATCTTAAATATGTTATTTTGTCATCATATCTTTATGGTGGGGGCAGACTTTGCACTTACTGCAGTGCAACACTTGCACTTTACTTTCTTTCCTCCAACTGTCTGAAATTAGAGCAAACACATTGGCAATACAGCTGCTTTTGCTCTGAGCTACAATCATGGCTTTTCATGTTATTTACCAAGTGGTGTTTCTGGTTAGGAATCACAGCTGTAAAATTGATTTCAGTTCATTACACTTCATGATGTTGCCCCTAAATTTTGCACACTATATTCTTGTATATTATTTCAAATAAAATGAAAAAAAAAAATTGTTAATCTCTGATGTCTGCTGATTGATTTTGACTGGACATTATATATGGGATGCCAAAATATAAAGTTTCGGTATGAAAAATAAGTTGATGAGGTTTTAAGTATTAAGTTAAAAATGTTAACAAGACAAGGGCAATAGAAAAATAATGACCTAGGTTATCTAATATCAAAACCTTTGTAAAATAAAAATTGTTTTTATTTATAACTTGGCATCTCTGTTACAAAGTTTAACCGCCATAAAAGTCTGCTTTTAATAAAATGACAGTGTAAAGACAGCTTGCTCTAGATTTATTACAGATACAGTATGACATACAGTATTTAAACATTTAGCTCTACATCTTTGCTTTTAGGATGTGCCAGTGGTTCCCAAACTTTATTGCATATTTGAAACACTTGGAAATGTTCTTTAAAAATACTCATGCCTGGCTCCTACCCCAAATGTGTTAATATGGGGTACAAATCAATATTAAGCTTTTTTTAAAAAATATATTTTTATATTGATATTTTACAGAGAGGAAGGGAGAGAGAGAAGAGAGCTAGAAACGTCGATGAGAAACATCGACCAGTTGCCTCTTGCACACCCCCTACAGGGGATGTGCCCGGAACCAAGGTACGGGACCTTTCAGTCAGACCGACGCTCTACCACTGAGCCAAACTGGTTTCGGCTAATATTAAGCTTTTAAAAAGTTTCCCTCACTGATTAATATGCAGATGTGGAAACCACTGGCTACATACCTAGTGAGGAAGAAAGTAGGTTGGGGGAAACGGTACTTACTGTATATTACCTGGCCATATACCTTAAAAAGCAGTGGGTGCTCAGTTATGTGATGGGAAAGGAATTTTAGCTAGCCTTGTAGAAAAGTCTGAAAGGAGAGAAAAGAGTTGGATGTCTTTCTGGAAAATCAGGCCCCTAGCGTTTGAAGGTGACGGTGATTTTTTACATTTTATGCTACTTAATTAGAAGGGCTGAAGAGATTAACAGAAAAAGACCAATAGAGAATACAGAAAAGTTGGTTACATTCTTAAAACAGTGAATACTAGCTGTCTTTGGGTTAGCAACAAATGGAGATTAAGAAATACTTCACATTATTACTAAAGAGCAGACATAGCTTTCTGAAGCAGTTGAACCATTATGGGGTACACTGGCGCAAATTCTTTGCCTTCTCTACTTCTTACTGACTGGACATAAGCCTCCAGGGCTCCCCTGAAAACCAAAATGAAAACGATGTCAAAAATTATACAAATAAAACAGGTTAAAGAGTATCAATATACAAAACGAAAAAAATTAGAAGTTTAAGCCAAAAAAAAAAAAGTATCAATATACAAAAGAAAGCAGCCCATTTCTGGAATTGCTCTGCCCAGTTCCATAAGCTGAGTGACCATCAAACATTCATTGGTAGTGTTCACTATGGTTAAAGTGCAAAAACGAAACCTTTTTTCAGTCTGCATTGTATGTAGTGGTCCAATTATACAATCGGGCTCTGACCTCTGAGGCGGTTTTCCATTTCCCTGTGCTCTGCTTCTCTATTAGTCTTCTGAAAAGCCATATGCAGCTTGGACCTACTGAGAGCTCACACCATAGGAAGGCATGTTCAGGAGGGGGCTCTCGGGTGTGCACTGTATTATTATTTGATGAACTTGCAAGGAAAATTGCTCTTGGGCTCAAACTTTTGAATTCACTCAAGAGTATGTGGTACCAGCCAGTTATTTATGATTATAATATTCTCATGAATTATATCAGGGGGTTAGCCAACCACCCACAGGCCAAAACCCGCTCTATGCATGTTCACTTACGTATTGTCTGTGGTAGCTTTGACACTACTCTGGGTAGGCAGAGGCCATATGGTCTGCAAAGCCTAAAATATTTAGTATGTGGCCTTATGGAAAAAGTTTTCAAACCCTGAACCAGATGTTCTAAGTGTCAGATCATGTTTAAGTGGAGCTAAAACAATGGTTAACAGATTGTTTTTTTTTTTAATTATTGGTCTACTTAAGTCCCAGGTAAAACAAATTTTTATCATTGTTAAAAAGTTTCACAGCTCTGAGATTATGAAATTTCTACGAAGATGTAAGTTAATACCATTAGCTCACATACTCGGTCTCAACTCCCATCTAGTAGTTCTCAACTGGTTGTTTTGCTCCCAAACACTGAAAATATTGATATCTGGTCAGGTTTGGTCATTATTTTCACTTAACTGTGGGGAGTGTACTTACCCGGAGTCTGCCGGCTCCCCACTCACTCTGCAGTGCCCCTCCCACTCCACTATCTACTTTCACAGTCTCAGCCACTACATACATAATTGAATCTCCAATCTCTTATTTCTGGCCCTGACCTCCCTCCTGATTTCTGTTGCTACCTGTATTCTGGATATTTTGGCCTTTCCCCCCCTAAGAATAACAATGAGGTATCACCTCATACCTGTCAGAAATGGCTACCATAACAAATCAAATGATAAGCATTGTCTAGGAGGTGGAGAAAAGGGAACCCTAGTAACTGCTGGTGGGAATGCAAACTGGTGCAGCCATTATGGAAAAAAGATTGCCTTTTCTCAAAAAATTAAATATGGAACTTCCATTTGATCCAGTGATCTCACTTATAGAAATATAGCCTAAGAAATCAGAAACACCAGTCAGAAAGAAGATATGTAGCCATATGTTCATAGCAGCACAACTTACAATAGCTAAGATTTGGAAATAGCCCTAGTGTCCATCAGCAGATGAATGGATAAAAAAGCAGTGGTACATTTATGCAATGGAATACTACACATGGATGCATCTGGAGAGCATTATGCTAAGCAAAATAAGCCAGAGAAAGATAAGTATCACTCATATGTGTAATCTAATGAACAAAATAGATCCAGAGACTTAGGAACAGACTGTGGAATATCAGAGGGAAGGCAGGGGAGGGTGGAGGGGAAGAAATCAACCAAAGAACTAGTGTGCATATATGCACATTAACAATAGTGTGGTGAAGGCTTGGGGCAGGGAGCAGGCTAGAAGGGGTCAATGGCGGGGAGGGATAATATGTAGTACTTTCAATAATAAAGATTTAAAAAAAAAAAAAAATAGCCGGGACCGGTTTGGCTCAATGGATAGAGCGTCGGCTTGGGGACTGAAGGGTCCCGGGTTCGATTCCGGTCAGGGGCATGTACCTTGGTTGCGGGCATATCCCCAGTAGGGGGTGTGCAAGAGGCAGCTGATCGATGACTCTCTCTCATCGATGTTTCTAACTCTCTATCTCTCTCCTTTCCTCTCTGTATAAAATCAATAAAATATATTTTTAAAAAAAATAAATAAAATAAAAAAAAAATATATAGGCAGACACAACATTAATGAAAAGGAAAACAAAAATGCAGAAGAAAGTAAAGGAGAAACATGATTGATGGAGTCCCTGAAAGAAGCAAAGGTGTGTACAATGGAATGGAATGCTCCAAGAGAATAATCTTTTGTGAGATGCCTAGCTCATGTCAGAGCTGGGCTTTAATGAAGCTATTTCTTTATGGGGGGGAAAAAGTTACTTCTAGTAACTCTTCAGGTTGCTATGGCCCTCTCAAAATTGAGTCCTTGGAGATTTATGCACAGTGAAAAAATCCCCAAGGGCCCCAACTGTCTGAGACAATAATGTGGGTGTGGGTGTGTGTGTATACTGGGTATCCAAACAAGTGTATACACACTTCAATAGTTGATAGTTGTAGATTACAGTTTGAAAATGAAATGTATTTGCCTTTATAATTATTCAAAGTGTGCACACATTTTGAGGGGACACCCCGTATACACCAATTCTTAGAAATATAGATGTTCTGAAGTCAATGGATTATATGTTTTAATACAATACAAAAATCTATTTAGCAGTTCATTTGATTTCAAAAGGATAAGGCCTATGAACTACACAATATGTAGAAAAAAGTTCAGAAATGAGCTTGGTTAGTTTTTTTGTTATTTGTCAAAAACACCCTCAGAACTATGAAAAGAAAAGCAGATTAAAACCGCCCTCCCACATAAAATCAGAGTGAGATTTTCAAGCAATTATTAAATTACTTCATTTGCTTGAGCAAAACATCAGCTTTCTTGAAAGTTAGAACCAGTCCCAACGCTGATTTGTAATCAAAAAGGATTATTAGCATCCTTATTGAAAAAAAAAAATTAGTACAGGAATTGTGCAAACAACTAGTAGAGGAATAGTCTGTCACATGGCAACACTGCTCTGTTGAGGCTTTTATGGAACCCAAGATGGATTCTGTCAGGCACTAAGTGTCAGCGGACTTCGTACTGAAATACATAAATGACTTCAAGATCCACCACGAGCTTCACAGGCAGGTAGGTCCTCACTTTCCCTGGCTCTCTTCTCCCTTTGGTCTCATCTCAGGCACCCAGTTTCCAGAACTGGCAGGTATCCAGTGCCACAGGGACATCAGGAGGAGAGACCAATCCTTACCCTCCATCTACAGGGATTTGAGGAAATGGTTCCTATCTGTTGGGCCTGGACCAGGAGGAAGGGCAGGGGTCCAGGGACGCACCTACACTGAGAAGGGTATGATAATTGTATGTATAAGAAGTACCAATAGGCAAATAAAATTTGTAAACATTTTTTACAGCTTCTACTTAGGCCAAAGAAATGCAAAGGACAAGAGGGTCACAATAAAAAGAGTTGCTGCTCCATTACAAACATCAAGACTAAACGGGCTTGAGGCCAGTACTCACACTTCTGCAAAGATTTAGAAATCTTTTCATCAAAAACTCAGCCTTCATCTTTACTCAGAACACATTCAACAGTTACAGATCCACAGTCTTCCCTGGAGGGAGCGGAGGGGGGAAGCCTTTTATACCGGTACCCAAGGGCACGCACGTCTGGACGACCTGACTGATGGGAGCTGAGTAGGTACCACTTGGCCCCAGGAGTCGGTAGTTATTCTAATTTTAAAATTAACTTGGCC